GAATCATCTTACATTTCACAGGTGCAAAATCTGCTCCAAACATACTCAGATTTCTGCTCAATGTATTCAGAAGACCCTGCAATTGCAGCAGCTTGTGGTACTCGACTTGTTGAATGAAAACTCTGCATTTGGAATGGAATGAGAGTTAGTTCAAAGCCATCATAGTAGTATTCGAAATATCATTCCATCCTAAATACTCTTCCTTACTTTCTTTTTGCCCTCACCTATTCCCCCTATTTTATACTTCTCCATTTTTGTTCATGATATCTTTCATTTAATTAGCCCTATTCCTATTGCCGCCTTTATCATTATTATTCATCTGAATACACACCCGGTTTTCTTATGATGTCATCTTAAGTGGCTACTATCTACTCTCTTCGGACTGATAAGTTCTACCCTCAACCAATTAAATTTTAGCCCCAAAGTCAATATTATTATTGTAGTTGGACATTGACCAATGATGAGTCCCATGCTAGGAAAAAACAGCCGGCCAATGCTCACTGGTTTGCAGTTGTTCTGTTCAGATGATATCAATCTATAGTGAATACCACCTTGAAGTCAATTAATCCCAAGAAACCTCCCTTTGGAAGCATTCTTTATACTAGGGAACATGTGTTACTTGAGATTGTAGTAGAGCGTGAAACTGATATGAGTGGAAGCTTAGACTGAGATTGAGTTGCTTCCTGATTTCTAGTTTTTGGCTGGTTTCAGTGACGTACTAGACCTTCTTATTACGATGTTCATGCATGATATCCACATCATTAGTTAGCACTTCTTAAGTGAAAATCAACAGAAATCCTATTTCCTACATGTTTTGATAAGAGGATCAGATTAGTAGCGTTAGGCAACGAATGATAATTGCATACACTCAATTCACCACCATATGCAGGTAAAATAAGTAGGCCTTAGACTGTACCTATTCAAACTTCAATAAACTGTTTGGTTCTCGAAGGTATGATGCATAGATAAAAAATTGAATCTGTGAATAGATGGACTGCAGCTCTGATTGTCGTAAGTGAGGAATGTATTCAGGCAATGTAATCAGTATTGAGATAAAAGTGTTCTCTGAGGTGAGATTATCTAAGGAGGCCACACTGCAAAATGATCGTTAGAATTCAGTCAGCACTAAGAGTTAGACAACAACAAACTGTTTTCTCTTCAGCGACCAGTCAATGTATTCAATTCAGTCTTAAAAAAGATCTATCACATTCCAAATAGCTCGCTGGTAATTTCGCTGACTACAAGACTAGTTGGTATGTTTAAGTCCCAGTGCGAACATCAGTTCTCTCCAGGTTGTAGATAAGCTTTGCTGACAGGTGGCAAGATGGATGAGCGCTGGGTTCAAGGCTTCCTGTTGATTGCCTCCAACTAAATAACACCTGAGGAAAAGCTTTCAGTCAAACTTTATTCACTATCCGCACACAGTGTATCATTAGAGAGTACCTGGAAGATTCACCTCTTCAAAGTGAACTATAAATACTTTCACATGACTCGAAGATTTTCTACCGCACTTAAAGTGCCTACACATTGTTATCCTTTTGATGATTGACTCAAGGTGAACGCATTTTCAGTTCTAAGAAATTCGTACACAGAATTTTAACAACAGGATTATACAATCACATGGAATATGAAATGTAAAAGACCATTGTTAGAGTTTTAATCCTTTATCCTGGGTTTTGAGAGAAGAAATTGTGTATTCATCACTATCAAATCAAGTGTTGTTTAGAAGTACAAACAGACATAAGGCCCTGTTCCCATTTCATGGAATTTAAGTACGTAACCGTCTAAAGTGTTTAAAAATCTCAAAGGAGAACTGTTTTTTGCACACTGTGCATTATGCACTATCTCAATAATTGTAATACAGCAGTTCAACTGTAATAAAACCAAATACTGGGTGGTTTTAGTTTCTGTGTTATTTCAGGTATTTATTTATGTGTCTGAAAACAACATTTTTCACAGTATCATACCCTGTTGTCGTGAGAAATCCACTGACCCACTGACTCAGTGGTAGTGTACTCCCTCTTCAGCCTGAGGATTTAGGGCTCATGTCCTGACAGGGCCATGCATGGGCGCTGCTGAGGAGTTCAATACTAGGACGAAGCAGATTTCCATTGCTTCCAGACTTACAATGATTCTCTTCAACTGATGTCATTCTGAGATGAGAACCATAGTGAAATCAATGCATCCCCACAAACCTCCAAACTGAAATTCACTTAGATTTTATCAAAACTACAAAAAGTATTGTTCACATAAAAACCATACAATTTAATCGAAATTAAATATTATATTGAATGATGGCCGACACAGTAGTATTGCATTTCAGTCCAGTCCATTCAAGTTCACTTCATATATATCTATACCTTAACATACAATAAACAACTAGACGATTATTTTGACAGTTAAGTTTTGACAAGTATATGTCGATTTCTGCATATTGTGTGCGATATTTTACAGTCAGAAAAGTGGTAGGTATAGAATTTACTTATTCATCATTTTCCTGCACGAGAATGACTGATGTCATGTGAAACAGTGTGTGTGCGTATGCGAACGTGTTATCTATTCTACTGAAATTGATAATTATAAGTATTCTAGTATCAAAAAAACACTCTGTATTACATTACTTTTGTCCTTAATAAGTAGTTTGTTTTGATTTAACACATTTTTCAAAACAATGTGCTCCATTTCGTTTGTGTACTGACTCTGTGTAACACATTTAGAACAGTTTGATCGTATATTCATTTGTCTTAGAAATTTATATGAAATGTCTTACAATGTCTTTCAGTGGATACGCTTATTCAAACAGGTCAAGTTGGAAGGGTAAATTAACGTCAGAATAATGAAAATGTTGAAGTTGATATCATCGAGGAAGGTTTGATATGATAGAAGAGATGTTCGTAGACATTGACCTAGACAATATCAAAACTGGACCCCACATAACTGTGTTCAAGCTGTCACACTCATATCAGGACGTCAAAATAAAGACTTGAAGATGAAAGATAAGAAATTCAGGAAGAAAGCAGTCGAAAGTGGTAGAAGGTAATGAAAAAAAAGAGGAAGGATGAAAAAGAAGCGGCAGCTAAGTAAGATATGATATTCAGATGAAAGTAGTGCATGAAATCATTTGCTTCGCTGACATCGATTTGTAACATTATCACATAGAGCTTCAAACCAACCATTTCTGCTGTCATATGGACCACAACGAGAAGTCTGCCTTCCCTACATAACTCATAGCAAACACCAAAAACTCATGGACTGGTGCCCTAATCCAGTCTGACAACGTCCAACATTTCTTCATCGTAAACCTATTTCAGCTAACTTTGTATGGTGAGGCAGATGGCGGTCATACATGTGTAACACACCTCCCAGTTATTTGAGTCGATGAAGGCTTAAAACCCCACCAACAGACGCTTTTCTTCGACCGAAAACTCTACACCTGGCTTTGGTATTACTGAACTGATTGTTCTGTAGTACAGGATCTGTTGTACGAAGGCAGCAGTGGTTAAACTGTTTAAACCTCCCGGTGTTGTTATCAATCCTCAAAAATTCGAACACATTACACCACCTCAACCCTTTACAGACGTGAAACTAACAAATTCAAGTATTCATCAATGCATTTTATCCTTTAGTTCATAGATCGTATTTCAGTGATTCATACTTACCGGAATCGGTTAATCGACAACAAAAAGCGATCATCACTGATTATCAAAAGTGGGTATTTATCCTCATTCCGGACGCTTTGGGTACCATGGGAGGCAGTTTTCCATCACAACTTTACGTAATCCATCTCGAAACCATTCGCTAATGAGTTTAAACTTCTTATATATACTGTGAGTGGATATGATACACGCGTTTAACTAATAGATAACTTCGTACACAACAGCTACAGACTCCAACCCAGGACGAATAGAGAGGAAGATCGAAGCTGGATGGGAAAGTTTTTTCCTCTGATAATAATAATCAAGTAACCCAAATACACGTGAGTATATGACTTTGTCCGGAAACTGAGACATTAACATAACCATCAACCAATCAGAAATACCTTGCAAGTGGGGATCGAAAATGAACTGCTGGCCACGCTGTAAAAAATGGCTTTAAAACGACAATTTAAGAGAAAATATTCAGGTTAATAACAGCGTTTTACGCAAAACTGGGACATTCCAACAGAACTACTGTGAAGTTTAGTAATTTTCAGTGGTTGATCATCTCTGAATATACGAATTTAATGAAGTTAGAAAAGATAGACTACTGAAGTCTGACTAGTAGTCTAGTGAAAGGTGATGGCTTCTAGGTTACACTGTTTACGGAATTTATACATTCATTCTCAAAAAAACAGATTCATTCAGCTGTCTGATACTTTATACTCCCCAGTCGTTCTGTAGTTAATATCACTCCATGAATAAATGTTACTTTCCATAAATTCAGTATATTGAATTTGATATGATTACGAGTTAGAAATTCTCATTTTTATAGAATAATAAATAAAAATAACCTTTTGTTAATGTACTTGTAATTCCCAGTTATTTTGTGGATCGAATTGTTCGACCTCTGTCGGCATATGCGCTCCTATGGGGATGCCTCGATATTACCCGGATATTTATTACGGTGACTTAATGGGTTGTGGTTAGTAGGAGAATTCAGGATGCGTGCTTCGTCTTATTCGGGACTCATCAGCTGGGTGTACCTGCACCCCGGCGAGGAGTGACGTTGTTCCCATAGGGACTCGAGCCTATTACCCATCGCTTCAAATGCCATGGCTTTATCCAATGAGCCACTGAGGCACGATAACTACCTCTTGTACAACGGGTATTAGTTATAACTTTTGGTGATGTATTTGTAATTCTCCATTGTTTTACTGGATAGAATTGTTCATCCTGAATTCTTCCGGTAGTCACAACCAAGTAAATAATTATCATAATAAATAAAAAAATCATTACTAAAACTTTTATGAATAACATTTTCTATTTATCATTTATTTTCATTTATTATTTATTGAATGATAGGTGATATGCGCGTTGATGACTCACCGTTGACACGTCGTAAATACTATTATGCTCTTTATGAATGGAATGTATGGGGTAGATGCACTTGTTTTGGTCATGCATCACGTTGTAAACCAAAGTCAACAGCTGAAATTCTGAAACCAGAAAAGGTAAATCAATTTATCACCATATAATTTAATGCACGAACCTTGTTAAGATTGTAATGAATATTTATAAATCATTGTGTAGAGTTTCCTACTGAGTTGGGGTTTTATTGTCACCTTAGACATCGTTGCCAGTATTTGAAAATTTCACAAGGAAATGAAGTGATTAGTTGTGCATGAATATATATAAGGTTTTATGTTGATTCAGACGACCAGTCAAGTTTAACGTATACACAAACAAACAGCAAAAGACCAATCAGATTAGAGTAAGGTAAAGTAGGACGTCATTCTCATGTAAACCCATTATGCCCTAGCAAAGATGTCTAGCATGACACTGAAACGCTTACTATGAACATGAACCATCTTTTCAGGCATCTTAGACTTACGTATTGCAAACTGGCTGTTTCCCTGGTCAATCAGTTCTAGACGGAACTCAATACTCAGGTATGATACTTGAAGATGTTTAAATAAACCTCAGTCACCACAAGATTCGAACATATAGCTTTCATATTTTATTTTTTAACTGTACCTAACTTCTTATAAATATTCTTGTTTAGCTAAGTATAGAAGAACACTTAAAACTGTTTAGTAAATTCTTCAAAAAGCTGTTTCTATGATTTAAAATCTGCAAGTAACTTGCTTAATAAAACAGTCTAAGAATATCATGAAAACTAAATGAACATTTCAAGCTTGTTAGCATGACGGATTAACGTCAGTAAGAGAACCATTGAAAACCAGGGAAAACTGGACAGCTCGTTCATCCTAGAATGGGACTCCTCAGCAGTGTACACAAATGACTTAGTAACTGTCCTGACGTCTGACTTGGTTTGCCTTCGATAGTCATGATTCATCCTTAGAACCCTAAGGAACGTTTTTGATGCCTTTTAATTTCCCATGTTGATAGGTTTGGACTAAAGTCATAAATCACTATTGATAACTGGGCTCCTGTGTGGAGACCTCAGTAGATTCAATAGTTCTCTTGTGATATTGAGGATGCATAAAAACTGACATGCAGGTACATTCCACTGCCGAGTCACATATAAGATAAAGCAGACGTCCTGAATTCACTGTGGTTGTTTAGTTTAAGAAAGGAAGTGGTGTAATAACCAGACATTGGCTCCCATGTTTTTCCCATTATTTCATAGTTACCAAGTCCACAGTGAACAAAATACCAATTGAGATGCCAACTTAGTTAAACCAGAATTCGGGAAGATTAGATGCGATACCAATAATACCTAGGTGAACACTACTCAAACTAACTGATAAACATTATCACTAATTGCAGTTTGATATGAGGTCAGTTTTATTTCCTAGTGAAAACTAATTTTACTGATGTTTTAAATACATCTTAATGATACACCCTAGAGAACAAGGAACCTACGTTCATGATGTCATTCTACCTTTCTGATATCATGTACATTTCTGTAACACATTATTTAACTCATCGGTCACATCATATTACTGGATAAATAGGTCTATGCATGGCTTTGAAAGATAAACAACATAACAGTATTAACTATGTAACTACTAACCTGAGCTCAGTTCAACCATGAATCGTAGGCAAATCATACAGTATCTTCACTCAATAATATGTCAGTCATCTGACTCACGCTGTCGTTGTATCTTATCTATTGACAAGATTTGTTTAGTTCATTATGGGTCTCCTTTTTAATGATATTCTTTGAGGTTTGTCATAAGTGGTGGACACTGGGCAGCAACTATGATTCTTTTAAGGAAACCAAACGTCTCTACCGTAGTAACGTGGGAAAGTGAAGACGCGAAGAAGCTCTACATAGTCCGATTAAGTGGTGTGGACGTTTATGTTGCTGGTCAAGAAATCGGAGATGGAGTGTGGAACGATAATTGCGGGTCGAGACTAGTTACGCAACGACGTGAGCATGTACATGGTCAGCTGGATACCAGAAAAAATACCGTCAGAATTGAATCAGCAGTAAACATGGCTGACGAGATCCAAATGAACGGATCTGCGGCATGGGTATCCAGAGTATGGGCAGCCTAACCAACCGTCAGGATTCCGCCCATTTTACTGGGGGCAGTGTGGCCGAAGGATAAGAGAACTCGGATTCTGAATTTTGGCAGTCACTGTTGTCGAAACAGTCCCTAGGGAGAAGTGGCGTGCCTTGCAAAGGCTGTCCAGAATGCCAGCTGTCGTTTACCGTGAACTTCCCTGTACTGCTGGCCTGGGAGGAGCCTCTGAAGTTGAGTCGATATGGTGAGAGGAGGATAGTCTCTCAAGAAAGTGATCTGCGTCTATTCTGCAAAGTTGCAGAGACTGAGTGAGAAGTATCCCATGCACATCTGCTCATGAGGAGCTTTGTACAGTCAAGCAATGTGACTGCTCGGAGAATGTGCATGCATTAAAATTCAACAGTTGGCAGGGTTCTGTGATTACACTGATCATTTTGAGAGGCGTTAACAGAGTGCTCTGGTAGAATGATCGTTTTCATTTTGATGTACCGCTATGCTGTTTCCTGCTGTTTTAGGGGACAAATCCTCCAGGTTATGGATAATAACGTTTAAGCAGATGAGGTCCAGCCTGAAACTCGGAGATGAGCTGAAAGCCGGAGATAGACTCTTTCTGGTAGACATGACGTGATCAGCTGAGAAACTAATGACAGTACACACTTACTAGTAACTGGTATTTATGTAATCCACAGCAGTGTATTTTGAAGCACAGTCTAATATTGTGATTTGAGAAAGACAATGGTTTTATTAATTCAGGATTCTTTCAGTTAAATTTTTGTAACTAATACTTTGACTTCCACACTGGAGGCCATTTTCATTCTAGGCTGTACAGAAGAGTAAATTTGAAAATTTTCCCGAAAGTTGTCCGACTGTAATTTCTAATAAAACTGAAGTAGATTGGTTATGCTTGTCAGCCATTTCGTTAAGGGATACGCTTGACTATATACTTTCAGTCCATGAACTTTCTTCTTCACCTTTACTTGAACCGAGTCTGTTTCATTAGAGTTGTTAATCACCTTCATGCCTGAATGCTATGACTTGTTTAATAAAATCTCTTGGTAAATATAAGTTTTCTGCATCTTAGATTGCTATATTTCACCGGTGAAAAAAGAGGTTCGCAGTTATCTCTTTTCATCGGTATATGATGAGATCCACTGTGAAGTCACACGATTAAATGATGCTTTTATAAATGATTATGAAAACAGTGACCTCCTTCACATAACAAGGTGCACCGCGATGGTGAGCCTCCTAGTTTTATGGCTTCATTGGAAAACGGGCGGGTAGTGGTCGGTCAGCATTCAGGACTGAACAATCTGGAATTGGTTGCTTCCCAGTTATCACTCAATGATCTTTCTACTCAGTGTAGTGATGCTCTTAATTCATGCAGTCGATTTTTTTAAATGATATTTATCCTGGTCTACTTTGTAAAAAAACTAAAAAAGTTATGTAAATCTTTTCAATCGCTTTTTTTTTCGTCTAAAATATAAAGGTCTACGGTGTATGTGAATGTACGCATAATACTGCTGGTGAAAATTGTGAGACATGCGCTGATTTCCATTGGAATAAACCATGGATGCCTGCTACAAGAGATGCTGCAAATGCATGTGAAAGTAAGTAGAACAGTATACTACTCATAAATAATTATAAGTAGTTTCGAAAAATATTGATTTAATATAATTGTGTACATCATGAAATAAGCAAGTGCTCATTATTCAGGCTAATATGATGATCTTTTACTTCAACTGTTACCACAGCATGAAACTGGTTATCAACAAAACCTATTCAACACTTGTGATAAACAGCAAATTCAATTTAAGGTCACCTCGTCTTTGGTCAATAGAAAATGAAAGTAATTGAATAATTTGGTGTAGGTTAACCCAATTCGTGATTGATATGGAATATAGGATTCTTGTGTTTGGCATCTTTAAATCTTACTGCATAGGTTTTCAACCCGTTGAACATTTCCCAAAACTTATGTATATCTCTGTCATTATTCTCTGAATACAAGTCTGTTAAGTGAGTTCAGTGAAATTGTTAGTTATTTTTACCTTTTCGACTAAGTGCCCTTTGCTATAGCCATAAAATCCCTAAATCCAATCAAGACTGGGACAGTTTGATGAGAGTAAAATCTGGGTGTCAATTTATTTGGTAAACTAGTCTGAAACAAACGAATGCATTTCAGATGATAGTTGATAAGTCACTTTCACCTGAACTGGAAAAAATATTTACAAAAGATTGATTAAAAACAACTTAACTGCATTTATTCTCCATAAGATTTCCGTGTGCTATAATGCATGATGGATCCTGTATATAAAATAAAAACTGTATTGATTGGTTGAATCTACTAATGGGTTTCATGAAAGTCAAGTATTGATTCAAAAATCCTTATCTAAAGTGATCTTAACCCATAGAATGATTTTCCAGACTATCCATCGGGGGAGATGTAGGTCATTGATTAATGCAGTTGACTTTCAATCGATGCGTCATGGAATCGAACACCACTCCACCTACTGAGGTTTCAGTAGCCAGGTAGTATCGTTAGCCCTCATTCCCATTGCCAACAGCACAAATATATATCCAGAGTTGATCAAATGCTAAAGAATTGAACTGTAAATAGATTCACATTCTTCCCTCCTGTGGAACATGTTATATAGGCTGCACAAAGCGCACAATTTCCCAGTGTATCTTTGAACACTATGCTACATGGTTGTCGAAGGTAAGATGTAAGTAAACTAATAGTTCATTTCTTGAACATTGGTCAACTCTGAACATAAAGCTGTACCAGACTTTCATTTCAGTGTCATTTATTGAGTCAAATGGAACAGTTCAAAAAGAGTACGGTTTCGACAGTTGTGCATTATGGAAGAAGCATTGGCAGTTCATCAATTAAAGCCTGATATCTGCATACACAACAATCATCTCCATTCTCTTACCTTATCATGGTCTTAACACTCCCACAACTCTTTTTTGACTTCATTATAATTAGTTAGTTGACTATTATCACCATTATGTATGATCCTTGTTTCTTTCCTCACCTTCTTTACAGCTATTAGCTTAACACTCACAACCACTTCTCATTTCACATTTACCAACAAATTTCAACTTGTAAAACTCCTTAGCTCTCTCATTATTTCCATTGTCGACAAGATTATTATTTCTCAACTCCTTTCCAGTCTTGATTTCAGTTGTTAGCACTCAGTGGCTGAAAGATGTTATTGTGTCTTGTTGTTCGAAAGTAGACTGTTATATGTTTGTGATATATATATATCAACAGGATTGTACAGCTTAAGATGATACTAATTGAAAAGGAAATTTTCTTTGCTTAATTATCTATTTTCTTCTTTTTGGCTTGATGGACATGTTTTGTTAAGGGATCTAAATGCATGAGATGGTGTTGTAATTAAACAAGTTTGAATACCTAAATAAGTCGTACTATAGAATTCATTCTTTTACTTCTTTTCTTGCAGAATGTAACTGTAACAATCATGCCACAGCATGCTTCTTCAATCCAGTGTTGTATATTAAATCTGGTAATGTGTCCGGTGGGAACTGTCATGGATGTATGCATAACACAGAAGGTGTAAATTGTGAATTCTGTCAACCAAATTTCTATCGTCATCCAAGTTACCCGATAGATCATCCGCTTACATGTCAACGTAAGTCACCAGGTTCAATAAATTTATGTATAGGGTAACCAGAACCCTTATGTTTTGTAAATAAAGGTAACAGTTTGTTGCCTAATGAATGACTTATACTCAGTGATCAAACTAAATGGAGATCGCATTATATGGAGAATTGAAAGAAGCGGGAAAATATTAATTATTGAATATCGATTATGATGATAAGAAAGATATTGTCACTTCTATACACACCTGTAAACAGATAAAAAGAGAGACAAGCTACGTCTCTGAGTATGCAAGTAAGCCAAAAAAACGTGACTATGGTAAAAGCTGAGTTTCAATTAGGGGTAAATGAAGAGTCCATCGTTTATATACGTGAATACATCTATTCTTTACAAAACAACTAAATTAATTATAAAAATTACTGGAACTATATGTTCTAACATCAGGCCTGCATATGTTGTAGGTGGTTTGATAAATGAAAAATTGTCTAATTCAAGCTGAAGAACAATGAAGGCGTTTCCGTCTAACTCAGCTACCTCAGCCACAGCTAACGAAGAAAATATTGACTAGACAGAAGAATTTATTCCCTTATTTAATTATATAGATTTAAAAGCAGATAGGTTACAGCAGTCGAATCACCTAAATCGTTTCATTGTTCATAGTACAGTGATAATTAAAGAGATCACTTAAATATTTAGCAGTCAATAGGAAATGGCCTACACGCATATGAACGACAAAAACCGACTCAAAATCTATCAAAATTACAACACATACTTGGAGAAGATGGAAATTTCATCAAATATTAGTTGTCATACGAAAACTTCTCTTCTCTCTTATAAACTAGGATGATCAGTGAAGTAGACCAGTCTCATAACACTATCTAGAACTTCTGCTGTTGTACTCAGTAATTTCTACCTCCTTTGTTGAAAACTTCCGGTAGAAAACTGTCAAGTCCTGATGCATTTACATCGATTCAGGTTCGAAACAGACTTATCGACTTGAACAAGATTTGGAAGACATACATCTACATTGCATTCAAGTTTTCCCTAGATAATGAGTAATTGAACTGTGACTGTCAGCATACTTGAAGAAGATAAAACTGTCATCAAATATCAGTTAACTAGCAAAGTAATGAGACTATAGTTATGAGGAGTACAGAAAATGAACAAGTATACATGCATATAGATAAAGTAGAGGTTATAAATGAAAAGCATATATGTTTCAGCTCAGTAGCATACTACTAATACTAGAAATCCTAGTTAACATAGAAGAGAAAGATTCATTTCATTTCATGGTTTAAAATGCAAAAAAAAACACGAGCATAATCTTTTATCCATCCCTTATGACAACGTCTGAGCACAACATCAGTGACTGAAACCTGGTTGTCAGTTGGATACAACAACAATAAAAAAGATCTCCAATTGTTGATTAAAACAATAGTGTCACTTGATTTATGTTTTAGTTTCTATCTATATACGTTTTAGTGTATCAATCAAGACCTTAACTGAGGTTGGCTAACTCATTAATGTGAATATATAGTGATAGGCAACACTCAGGAGAAATACTCTAGTACATATTATCCACTCTTACTTTGGATTTGTTATCCGCTAAGAAACGATGAGTGCATAATGTTGGCAGATCCATTACAATCAACGATAAGAAACAAAGAAATATCGCATTGACTGTGTTATATTACTGATAGTATACATTAGTAGTATACTATGTTTATCAAACAACTTATTGCTTTTTTTTTCTTTCTCCATCTCTTTATTATGTAGCATGTAATTGTCATTTGGATGGGACACTGTATGATAATTTTTGTCAACAGTATACTATACCTGAACAGAATACAATCGCTGGTCGCTGTATTTGTAAAAAGAATGTTGGTGGAGAAAAGTGTGATCGATGCAAAGTTGGATTTTGGAATTTTCAAGCTGAAAATCCTGATGGTTGTGAATGTAGTGAATCTGATTTGAATACGAGGAGATCTAAGCAGTTTACAGTAGAAGGTTTCCGTTTTTCCTTTTCATTAGATGAAATTATTCCTAATGTAATAGGTTGTAATGTCCTCCCCCTAAACACACTAAGGAAGTCATTTGTCTTCTATCTCTTGTATCTCATATAAACGTATTCAATGTCATATGCTTATCTTCCATTAGTACAAGCTGATTTAATGAGAAAAGACTTAATCTCTGTGGTTTGCAAGTGATTAGATAGACAATCTCTGTTTATTCTAAACTTAATGAAGATTACTTATCAGTCATGAGTTGTTAACGTATATCGCACTCAGACATCATTTTTATGCTAATATGCTTGTCCTGTATACCAGTTAAAAATTCACTGAATCTTTAAAAAACGCCGACTTTAGAAAGTAAAAGATTTAGAAGCTTCCCAGAAAACAGTACAGCTACTGACATATAGTAAGTTATTATTATTATTTGTCGATTGGGTTCTTAGTGGAACATACGGCTTCAGTAGCACGTCTCCATTCCACTCTGTTCTCTGAAATCTTTTGAACCTGGCTCCACAACTTCCCACAAGCTCTCATTTCCTCCTCACACGATCTCCTCCATATCACCCTCAACTGGGACGCCCTACTTGTCGTTTGCCATCTGGGTTCCACTCAGGGGACTGGCCTGTCACATGATGTCCCCGAACCGTCTTCTCAGTGTATGCCACATCTAATCCATCTCCACTTCCTTCTGCATATTTGTTGAGTGGTAGGTTGTTGGTTGGTTCGTTGCCAGGCCGTCACAGTTCCTTGTTGCTTATTCTTTCTGGTCATCTGAGCATCAGTATCAAGCCAGCGTAGGCAATTGTTGATGAATATCTGTAATTTGTTGGAAATGCTTTTCGTAACGCGCCAAGTCTCTCAACCATCACATAGAAGCACTGACTTGACACTGGTGTTGAAAATCCGGATCTTGTTCACGCTTTATGCTGAGTGCAGATGATCTCAACACTGGTTTCAGGTTTTTGAAAGCTTGTCTTGCTTTTCCGATCATGGCTACTTTGACGTTCCAGTCTGTGGCGCCGCCTGTAGTCGAAATGGTGCTGCCTAGATAGGTGGAAGAGACTACTTCCTTTAAGTTTCTTCCGTTGATGGTGATTGTAGCTTGTTGTGGTTGGTGGTGTTGGTTGGGTATCTTCATCATCTCTGTCTTGTCTACGTTCACTTGAAGTCCCTGACGTGTAGTAAATAGTTTAATTCAAACATAAAACACTTGATTACTGATCAGACGCTCTTCAGCACACCATATTTCTCAAGTAACAGGAATCATATGAGTCACTTTATTAATATACTGTTAGGATTACACCGAATCAATCACAGTAAATGACCAGTATGAGAATCTAAGAGGTGTACAGAAGAAATATCAATGAAATGTCTTTCATACAACATGATAATAATATACATGGTTCATATACAACAGATTTCATGCTGATTTCATGCCAGAGTTTCAGTTGTCATCAAACTGTTTTTCAACTATTTCAAGCAAGCGCATACACACCGTGGCATATTCTCAAACAGACCACTTGATGTTCATCGATAAATGCTAAACCTTGAAGGAATATTTAGTATGTAGCAGAAGCTTCTTTAATAACAATAGTAATTGAGGCTTGAAGTTCTTCAGGGTAAGATCCTCTGTATGGCATTCAACTCACCTGTTAGTATATTATACGTTACGTAGAGTTAATTAGTAATCGGAAAATTTCACTAAAATAAATGCAAGAGTTTAGGTACTTTTAATTCATAATGTTTGTTTAAAAATCTCATTTTGAAATTCATAGCAACATTGTTGCGTTTAAAGTGGTGAACACTAGGTTTAGGTCTCACTGAGAATAACAACACTCACTAGGATGCAGGTACATCCACATGTTGAGTCCCAATATCCACTATTCCTTATTATTATCAATCTGTTCGTTTATCCCTTGACATCATTTTCAAAACTACTGGAAACACTAGAGTGGTCTATAATTATTTCTCCATAGTCTAGAGACACGTTAGCAGTAAGTAACTCTGACTTTCTTTAACATCAAGCTTAGCCAATTGGATCTGGAAGGCGTATAACGCTGAATTTCATTGCTCATATTTCTGAAATAGTTCTCTAGTCTGTGATAAGAAATAACTTAACTTCACTCGATTCCTTGTGAAAAATGCAGCTAGATCCTATATTTGTTCGCGTTGGAAATTATTGAGTGCGTGAAAGGTTAAGTTTAGTTTAAGTAGAAAATTTGAAATCAGTCATATGCTTATAGAGGAGATTCCCCAAAGTGTGAACGGTAGGGGAAACCAAATTTGATATGAGGACAGTTAGTCAGCGAAGACATTAAATGAAAGTCGTGGTATATCGTGAACTGACAGAAGTAGGAAATATGGACCATTGGACAATGAAAGATTAGCATTTACAAAAGTGAACAAGAAAATAACAAACATTGAAGAGGATTTCGATGCAGAAAAGTCGGAGATTGAAGTGTCAGAAGATTTAAACTTAGTTGACTTTAATGGCCATCTTAGCAGTTACTGATGCAACCAATTTGGTTTCTTTATTTTGACAGGGAATACAATTATTTCCTCCGTAAATTACAGAGTTCTAATTTCTTACTTCAGTAATTTTTAGGGTTGACTTCAGAATCACTCTTAGAAATCAGTAAATACTGTATTGAATATGAAAATAAGTCTACTGTTTAGTATTCTATCGATGAATCGTGTTATTGCAAAAATCAGCTATTGGTAGGTTTTTGTTTAGTCTGCATGTAAGTTGCTTCATAGGGTGCATAGAAGAGTGCGAATCTTGCTGTCATAGCAAGAATCTGGAAGAGAGAAAGATATAAGCCGATGACTTATCAAGCGCAAATAATGTACTTAAATTTATTCATAAAAGACAAGTGATAAACAGTAGTAATTCATGAGAAGATGGGGCAGTCTGCAAACCGAAACCTGAAAGTGAGTTAGTAAGGTTTCAAATGAGCTACATTATATTGGCGAATGAAGTAACATGCTGTGGATCAATTACTTTAACACAGACCGACAAAATCGATGTAGAACCTCGCACATAACTGCATCAGTTAGATTTTGCCCACTTCACAGTAGTAAACAAAGAACAAGTGTATAGAAGGAGACCGATGCCAAAGTAGAGAAAGCTGTATGGTATAGGACAGAGTCGAATGACACCTTCAGGCAAAGAAATATGCTATGTGTTGGCCACTGGTTAGCATCCCTGTGTTTCAGGACCTATTGGAGGTTAAAGTGTGGTCGATGTATCCTCATCCGCGTCTGAAACATGACTGGTGTTCCCGAATTTGTTACTCATGAGCTTCATTTAGACGTCGCATAACTATGAACCCAAGTATCTTGCACGTGATATTAGTTAAACTAATTATCCTATGGTTGTCACACGAAAATTTCTCTTCCCTCTTAGAAACTAGGATGATCAGTGAAGTAGACCAGTCTCATAGCACTATCTAGAACTTCTGCTGTTGTACTCAGTAATTTCCTACCTCTTTTGTTGAAAACTTCCGGTAGAAAACTGTCAAGTGCTGATGCATTTACATCGATTCAGGTTCGAAACAGACTTATCGACTTGAACAAGATTTGGAAGACAGACATTTACATTGAATTCAAGCTTTTCCTGGATGATGGGTGACTGAATCGTGATTATAAGCCATTTGAACTGTACTTCGAAGTATTCCATCTGACGTTGAAGCCGTCTGTTCTGGAAGGTTATTAGGGTACCATTCTTTTTGGTGATGATTGATGATGATGATGGTGATTTGCACAGAAATGAATGATAAATCAGTATACAGCTCTTGTGCTGACGTATACAATTATGCCGTTTTTCAAAAACTCCGAAGCGAAATATCTTCCTGGAAGTTAGTAAAGTAGCACAGAGTATCATAATAGTCCAAAGTTCCTATTCCCACTTTTTTCAGTCTGTTTCAACAAATCGCCATAGAAGCATCATTTTTCTCAATCAGAGTTCGATTACCATCTCCGTCATGAAAATAAGTGAGCATATTACATAGTACCAGGAGTTATCCACACCACATTGCATTCACCTAATCTAGTTAAGTGAAGGAATTACGGCTACCTCTTTGACTCTGAGTAACGTTTTATTCTATCAACTTTTGAATTCACCATTTTACAGGCCATTAGTTCAACCTTGTTTGGAGTCATATTTAATAGGGCTATGGTTTTATTGACGGAAAACTTAAAGAACACCTGATAAGGATGCAGATGCTGCATTCAGGATCATTTGTTTACAGCCGTTTAGGACGTCACTGATGTTGAACAAGCGGTTGATCAATTATGACGAAGAGAGTTGGGTTCCTTGTGACAAGTCTAAATTGTGAATGTGGTTTTTTAATGATTTGTGTAACCAATAATGAGAAAAGAGGTGATTTCATCTTCGTTGCCTCGCTCACTACAAAAAGAAATCTTTGAGAACAGGATTATTTTTCAAAGGCTCTCATCTAGCTCTCCAACAAATGATGATTTTATTACTGCATTGAGTTTCTGGACCACCTGTAACATCAGTAGAAGCTCCAACAGATGTGAATGAAGTTTCTTCAGTTCAGTGGCATCAGCACTGCAGAGATAGTTTCTCCGAAATAATATCCACGTCGGATGTGAAGTTTGTCGGGGTAGGTAATACAGTTGAAAGAGATGAATGTCTTGTTCAGAGAGATAAATATAACCGAGGAAGACAACTTAAACGAGATTGGGTAAGCTACATACATTCGTCTTAACAAAACACATATTCTTGATATATACGATCGAGAAACGAAGAGAGAAAATTTTCAGTGGATAAAGAAGAGATCATAAGCACCTATCCTACCAGTTGTAGAAAATGCTTACCATCGGGTACCATAATATAAACAGAGGCTAAGAAGTCGTACATGCCGTTATCTGGAATGCGTTACCCCACATGACTCTATTGTTCAGAAAAAGCATTTCATTGGTCCAACAACTGGAGGCGATGTGATATGGTATCATATGGATGAGTGGAAATTCAGACCACAGTATGGTTTCCAAGATGATAAACCTGTTGAAACTTAGATATATTTATTTCTCATGTAAACAGATTCCATAAATTGTAAATAAAATGCCATTTTCGTCAAGAAATACATTGTCCTTCAAATTCTCGATTCTAATTGGTCAGTGTATAGTCGAACGTAATTGGCTGTCACTAAAGTTTAGTTCTGCATGTTTTTTTGAATTAACTTGAAATGATAGTAATACTCCGATCATTTGTCTTCATCTTACTGAAATTTCAGCCTGTTCATGTAACATGATTGGTACAATCGATAATGGTGGATGTGATCCATACACTGGACTTTGTACATGTAAACGATTTGTTGGTGGTCCAAATTGTGATCGATGTCTAGTGAGTACAATGTTTAGTAATATTATCCTAGTTTACTTTTCAGCATAGAAGTCATTTTTTTCAGCATTTCGTAATAATGTACACTTATTTAAAGAATCTAAGAGTGTTAGAATGAACAGAAAGATCGGCAATTGGTCTATGTTTGGCATGTAAGATGGGGACTGAATGTTCGTGTATAACCTTGGTCCAGACTAACATCATTGGTATTCTATTGGTTTATTACAAACTTTGATCAAAGGTCATGTTGTTAATAGTTTATTTGTTCATTTTTAACCAGCATCTGAGAAGACAGTTTTTCTGTACTAAAATTTTCACTTATTGATCCAGTGAAAGGAATGTTTATAGTTAACTTTCGCTTTTCTTCCGTAGCAGTAAATCTCACCTTCTCAGTCTTGTGTCCTGCGTCTTTCTTCAGTGGTATAGTGTTATGGGTTCCATGCGCTTATAGTATATGTATATATTCCGAAACGGATATAATACGCGTGCTTAGCTGACAGCTAACTTGGTATGCAAGAAACACTGACTGCAATCTCGGGACGAATAGAGAGAAGACCGAAGCTCGCTGATGGGAGAGTGTATTACTCACAGAATACAATATAATAACAATGAATCCATCCAAAACACGTGAATAAGTATACACATGAAAAATGACCTTGTCCGCAATTGGAGAAATTCGCGTAGTAGAGTAAAAGTTAACCAATCAACGAATTACATTACAACGGAGGCAGAAATAGACTCCTAGTCATACGGTAAAAATAATGTGGGAATGACATGTTGAAATGTTCAGACCAATAACAATGTTTTATACAAGACTGGGGCATCACAACATATAGGAAAAGCATTCTAGTGATCATTTGTTGAAATTCTGCGGGAGCATAAAATTAGTTCGTAATTCTTAAACCATCAGTTATGAGAAATCCCCAATCGACTATTATTCTGTGACTTCAAGGATTGACTCTGAAAACCATCCTGGATTTCTTTTTGGTTAGAAGGATGATTTTGTTTTATCAAATGAAGAAATCTTATTCATCATTTCAATTATCGCTGTAGTGACCTTTAGAATAAGTTGCGTGAATATACCGTGAAATTAGATAAACTCAGCAATCTAAACTACTTTACCCTAAATATTCATAGTTAATCTCAACAGTCGTATTATTTTCTAGATGTCAACCTTGAACAGTACTTAGTTTGAGTTATTAATATTTGCTTTCTAATTACAGCACGTGCTGAATACACTATTTTCAAAATTTACTGTTGAACCGAAAAGGTTACATTATCTCAGTAGAGCTTCAAGAAATCCCTCTCATCGTCGTTGCTCACACTAATGAGCATTACCTAAAGTTTACAACCAGAGATTTTAGTTTTCGCCAAAGATTCCACACTTCCATGCATGATTTAGACTAATAGCCAGAGACTTTACAGACTGATGCCAGGTTTCAATCTGGCCATCTTACACTTTTCATCAGCCTTCGTAAACATTTAAACTAAATAAAAATTCAGCATTCCTTAGTGATTTTCTTTCGGATAGATTTCCTAAAATTGTATTGAGAAACCATGGTATATGTGACCAACCAGTTCTGAGTTGAGGATGGGGGCCAATGAAAAAGCATCATCATCAGGCTGTATCGTAAACTAGTAGAAACAGGGAATTGCATACCAATGTTTACCAAAGAAGCGACTAAATGGTAGCATGCCGACAGTGAAATCAGTAAGTTACGGGTTTGACTACACATGGGATCACATATGTGCATTGTTATGATGTTCTGGATTTTTGTTTTCAGTTCGCTTTTCAGTTGATATCGGCTCATGAAAGACATTTTTGAAGTCGTTTAATATTCTTTATCAAAATTCAGTATAGCAAAATAGAAATAGTGGTAAAATAACCAACCTAGATGGAGGTCCAGGTATTTAGGCCACTTCTCCACTCCTCTTCGTTTGGGGCCTACCTAAGTGTATTTATTCCCCCTATAAGTATTACACGTCTGCCATTAATTGACCTGAAAAATAGATTTATCACAATGAACACCACTCTGACAAATCAACGTAGCATAACCAATGTAGTGTTTCCAGAGCCTTCAAAACTGATCATATGCTTTCGATCAACTGGTTAATCCACTGAATAAATGCTAAGTTAGGTGCCGAGCTAAAGTAATTGGAAGCACTTGATGGAATTCCCTTCTTCATCTACTCTTTATGCCTGTTAGTATCCATCAGTAAGTGGTAACCTTAGCACTGACTGCTAAGTATCTCTCTAATAACCAACCTACGTTTTATTGATTCATTGAGTGATATTGAACACTGCATATGCGGTGCTTGTCCTACATAAGTGGCCCTAGTGGGCAGAGATTTGGCGTATGAAGCGATGGATCCTAGGTTCAAGTCTTGGTGGAAGCAATATCACTTAGTGAGGTGCAGGCACATCCAATTAACGCGTCCCAAAAGAGAAGAAAGCCACATCCTGGATTCCACGACTAGGCAATACTGAAGCATTCATTCCAAAAGCTAACATGCCATGAGAAACCGATCAGTTCCTTCCTGTATAATAATCATTACGAAAATGACAAGTATTCATAAATCAAACCAAGAACTTCTGCTTATCAAGGTGTTACGCAAGGTGGGAAGTGTATGGGAATGGAAAAATCTAAAATTGTATTAAAACGCTCAGCTCCTTGGAATTTGCATGATTTTTATTATATGACTAGTAGATTAGTTACGCACTTTAGTTCATGCGAATGACCTTGGAGCGCAATACTTCACATTTAGTGAATGAACATAATTAATAACATATTATTTTACTTAGTGGCCTTCAGTGAAATTCAGTGTGTAGTGACTCATCAACTAGATGTAACTATACGCCAGTGAGTGATGGTGTTTCCATTGAAGCTCGAACCCAGTGCTCATTGTTTCAGACGCCAAAAAGTTACTTGTTAGGCCAGTGAGTCAGGAGGACCATCTCTTGAGCAACAGACATAATTTAGCCTTGATCTTATTATGAAGACGTTACACTCACTGGATGGGTAGCGTCTCACTTGTATGCCTAGACATTTAGGTGATCTAAACAATAATTGGCCTGGCCTGGCCTGATTTGTCCATCCGTCTGACTAGATGGCTGGCAGGCAGGCAGGCAAAGTCTAAAGATCAGTCTGAGTGGTTTCTAACCACTCCTTAAGTTGTTAGTCAGTAGTTTATTTCTCTAGTTCGTGACACTTGTATCAGAGATCACACCTTGTGATCTCGGATGTGGGAGGGCTTCCATCGGAAACCCTGTTGACACCACAGTTGGGCAGTTGAAAGACTAGTCAACTGTGAGGAATGGACTGTGCAATTTTTAAATGGTTTGCAAAATCTATGAATTTCTGGTGACTTACTATCACATTTCTGTTTCTTTTTGAAGGAATCAAAAGCACGCCCTTACTTGTTCTAACAAGTTTTATTCTAACAACACATGAGAAAAAGTAATAACGATTATTTCCTTCTCGGGCAAATAGTTACATCAAATGACTGACACTAGTTGAAAGTAAAGAGGCAAACTTTCTTAGTCAGAGGTTAAGTAGGCGCTTATTGTTTGCGTGAGTTACGTAATCCTAACACTGTCATCATCAAAGCCAGCGTACAAGTACAAATACATACTGTCAGTAATCAGTGACAGATTACATCCTATCAGGAGACTACGAAATAATTGTTGGATACAAACATATAGTATACACTTTCAATCTTCGATAATTTGAAACAGAGATAGTGTGAAACAGCTTTTCAGTATTTACTTTCTGATTTACATGCCCATATTTTTGCCCAAAAATATATACTACTTTAAGGGTGTTACTGAAATTTTAATTGCTAGTTAGCTGATATAGAATTAGTTTTCCCACTTCATTCCACTAACATGCTGGAAACATCTACTGAATACAGTTACGACTCAGGAGTGATTTATTTAAGATGGTATACCAGTATTATTAAGCATAGTGATTAAACTTAGTTACTGTTGTTGTGCTCTTTTGTTTACAGGAAGGCTATTTTAACTTGTCAACAGCACCTTTAGGCTGTCAAGAATGTGCTTGTAGTCAAATTGGTTCACTGAATCCTAACTGTGATAGAGTTAATGGACAATGTGTATGTAAAGTTGGTTTTACTGGACGTGATTGTAGTCAAGTTGAAGATGGTTATTATATTGTTCCACCACATGAATTAATTGCTAGACCAGATGAAAAAGAAATCACATTAGTTGGACCAAAAGGTGAAGGGAAATATGTGATTGTACTTGATGTAGATCCTAAACAGGTGAGTGATGACACTTGCTAAATACTTAAACTTCTTGTTGATCATTTTATTTTTACAGCATTTGGTGATAGCCAGTCAACGGTAAATAACCGATTGCATGTTGACTAGTCCTCAGGACTGACTGAATTATATCGATCATTTTGAAATGTGACCACAAAGCTGAGGGTCACCATCGTAGTTCACCTTCATGGAGGAAACCTTGCTCTACCTAGGTTTCTTTTTTTGACACTAGTTATCTAGGAGTATCTAAAACCTCGAGATGGATGTTGTCAGCAGGAAGATTCGAACCCGAGTCACATATATGCTGACTAATCAGTCATTTGGGTTATGGTTAACCCCTTTCGGAGCTAGCTGTATAACATAAGTCAGTCGACTACCTTCCAATGACGAGACCTAGGTTTAAGGTTTGAAATATTCTACAAATACATGATTAACCTACCATAAACAGAAATGAGCCCTTTCAGTATGGTTTCTGTTGCAGTATATACGTGCAGTACGGACACTTTTACCATCTTAGATCATGTATGAAGCATGAATGAGATCTCAACTGCCATTTTCAGAAGACCGTTGGTTAAAACCTTATGACTTTAAAGGCCACCTTGGCAACAAGTGCAGTCAACAATCATTATTATTATTTGTCCATTGGGTTCCTAATGGAACATAGGGCTTCAGTAGCACGTCTCCATTCCACTCTGTTCTCTGAAATCTTTTGAACCTGGCTCCACAACTTCCCACAACCTTTCATTCTTTCCTCACACAATCTCCTCCATATCACCCTCAACTGGGACGCCCTACTTGTTGTTTGCCATCTAGGTTCCACTCAAGGGACTGGCCTGTCACATGATGTCCCCGAATCGTCTTCTCAGTGTATGCCACATCTAATCCATATCACTTTCTTCTGCATATCTTTTGGGCGATGGGTTCTTGGTTGGTTCCTTGTCAGAGTCCCTTGATGCTTATTCTTTCTGGTCATCTGACTTTCAGTATCAAGCCAGCGCAGGCAGCTGCTGATGAACATCTGTAGTTTGTTGGAAATGCTTTCCGTGACACACCAAGTTTCTGAACCATATAGCAGCACTGACTTGACTGAGTTGGTGTTGAAAATCCGGATGTTGTTCACGCTTTATGCTGATTACAGTACATCTCCATACTGATTTCAGATTGGTGAAAGTCTGTCTTGTTGTCTTTTCGATCCTGGCTTTGACGTCCTCATCTGTGTCCATGCAGCCTGCGTTTGAAACGATGCTGCCTAGGTAAGTGAAAGAGACTACTTCCTTTAGGTTGCTCCTGTTAATGGTGATTAGTGCTCGCTGGTGATGTTGTTGTTGGTTGGGTATCTTCATCACCTCCGTCTTCTCTACATCCACTTGAAGTCCCGTCTTCAATGGCCTGCCTCTCTGTCAGCTTGTTAGTTTTTGCCTGTAGATCTTTGAGTTTGTGCGACGTTAGACATAAGTCATCATTGGGGAAATCCAAATCTTCTAGGGTCTTCTCCTCGGTCCAGCGTATGCCCATCTTCTCGCTGTATGATCCAGTCCACCACCTGGATGATGCGGCTTACTATTTTGTTTGGGTTTGAGAGAAACATAATTCGTCGCCAGTTCTTCCAAAGACTTAGGTCTCCCTTCTTTAGGAGTTTGACAAGGTAGACCCTTTTCCAATCTGCAGGTGTCTTTTTTTCTTTCCAAACCTTCTGTAGTGCTGGCGTGAGGATGCCTCTGTTGTCTCTGCGTTTGTTTTCAGCGCATCTGGCAGAATTCCATCTGGTCCGCTGCTTTCCCGGATTTCAGCAACTTTATGCATTCAGGACACCTGCTTTTGTCGACAGCTTGTGTTCACTGGTATTTCTGGACGAGTTGCAGGTAGTGATAGCGGTCGATTCAAGAGCTTTTTGAAGTGGTCAGGCCATTGCTTCCTTTGTTTCTCCTCTTTGGTAACTAAGTTTTCTTCACTATCTTTCATTGGTTTCGTCTGCGTTGATCTCTTCTCAGGTAGACAACCTTAAAACCATTGTTTGGATAGGTTGAATGGTTGCAGTCGATTAAATGTTCAAGGATAGAACTTCTGGTGCGTTTCCTTTCACCTTGATAAAACCAGGTCGGAATATGTTCTTATATATGTGTTGACAGCAATCTCTGACTACTGCCGATATACCTTGTTCCACAGAAGCGGGTAAACTGGTAGATACACCACGATGTAGCCTGTCTAGTCATTTGGTTGTGTACTAACTCTATCACATTTTCACCCCCTTATTAATTTATATGCCCCTTATAAACGTCTTGAAAATCTTACTCAACTCTTTCTTGCTATCATTCGACCTTTACGTCATCAACTAGCAACATGGTGGTAGTCGATTCAAGAGCTTTTTGAAGTGTTCAGCCCATCGTTTCCTTTATTTCTTCTTTGATAGTTAGGTTTCCTTCACTACCTTTCATTGGTTTCGTCAGCGTAGATCTCTTCTCAGATAGTAACCTGGTTGTTCGGTATAGTGTTGTTAGGTCTCTCTTACCTGCAGCCTGTTCTGCTTCACTTGCTAGTGTGTCGTAGAAGTGTCTTTTGTCTTTGCGCGTACTTCTCTCCAGTTCTTTTTCCAGTGTTTTATACATTATACATTGTTCATCGCTGCAATGGTTTATCTTCTGCTTCACAATTAGGCTTCTCTATATCATTGAAACCTGTCTTTCCAACGAAGTACAGAATCCTAATTGGTGGTTGTAGTTGTTAGTGGAGCTGGGGTGATACTTTTATTAACTCCTACAACTAACTTAAAAGTCACCCATGGGAAGAATGAAATGCCCAATTAGGTTTATTTATGTCAGCTGGAAAGGCACATGTTCATAAGCCCAAGGAACATCGAGGAAATGTGGACTGCGTCTATGCAGGAAAGATAAGTACAGTTGGGTAGGGAGATTCGCATGCGTGACAATTGGGTTCCTTGGACGAACAACCAACGTCCACTCCTGGACATATACCAATCAGAAATGGTGCCCAATGGAAGCGGTAGTGGTGAGATCCACCACATACGAACTCGATACCCGTGTGGCACACAACATAAGTAGGGACAGTGACAACAGGGTTACGACTGACGTGGGACTCCGGTTAACTATATTTCATTGCGCATCATTGACAGTGGAATTCGCATTAATTGTTGTAGGATTCCATGAGTCAGGTACACTCGGACAAAATCCTACCAAGCTAAGTCAAGATACTTAAATCGACAAGCAATGGCAAATACTTGTGGCTCATGAACAAACCATCATTGAGATAATAATTATTATTACTAGCCCACTCAATCCACAATTACTATTGTATTTACTAAATATAATAGTAATTGTGGATTCACTGGGCTAGTTGTCTACCTTCGTTTTCTCGCTGAGTCCAGCTGATTCGACGTCAGTGTTGGTAGGAACAACTTGCACATAGCGACTCACTTCAATGATTATAGATGCAACTAGCGTTCGGCGTTTCTCTCAACCTGGTAATTATGGGACCGAACCAAATAAGAAACTTGAAACGAGGTTAAGATAAGTAAAACAGTCAAACCGTTGGATTAAAGAAATATCTGTGTCAGTAGATTGGATTCATTATATGAAATGGTTTTTAAGATATTTGGTAAAGTGGGTGAATCGACGTTTTCTCCTCTGGAGGCTGATATTTTAGAGAAAAGGAAGTGTCTTTCATCTTGTACATTGTGGTGACCTTCATTTTCTTTTTGCATTAATTCCGGTGTGGATTCAAGCAGTTGCCTTGTTTTATATTGTTTATCAATGGTTGGACTGGATGATTTTTAGTTGCATTATGTAATGATGTAGTTAACACAAAAATAAGCCGATTGGTTCTAATTGATTGCTTATACTGAATGATAGTTGGTTTACATCTCGTTCTGAGTATTTGGTAAGCATTAACACTTATTGTTGTATCCAAAAGACTTTAGATATTCGTGTGCGCCACAATACACTGAACAACTGCGAAGCACTTTCATGGATAATGGTGGTGTTATTTCGAAGTGAAGTTGTTGTACTGTTATGGTCAGATAGTTCAGTGGAAGGTTTTGAGAAATGGAAAGTATCCACTTTATTTGTGCAGACAATAAAATAAAGAAGCGTCGTTTTGATTGTTGATGATCAAGGATGATTGAGAAGTGAGTTGGTGGATATTACTCAATAGTTCCGTTGAGGCAGTCATGAAGGTAAAGGTATGTTAATGTCTGAAGAAAGATTCGATCATAACGGAACTGAAATATAAAGATGATATCTTAATTCTGAGACCATATGAAGTTTTAGATGTTGTTATCATGAATGAAAGTGAGCATGAAAGCAACATATGATTCTCTTAACGATGAGAGGAAATGTATTAGAGACTGTTCTGTAGGAAGGATACAGACTCTAATCGAGAAAATAACATGTAGTGTATTGAGATTCTTCTCGGTGAATGCTATCAGTGAGGAGAGATTGGATCCATCGACTTGGCTAAATCCTAATTCCTAAACATTTACTTACTTTCTGAAAGTCGTAAGCCTCATAACACTTTGTGTCCAGTGAATTTTGGTGTGTAAGATTGCAGTTCACAAGCTTTCTCAGTGTTTGGTAGAGTTATTCAGCCTTATTAGGAAAACGTTTCTGAGCTTGTTTTGAGCTAGTTAATCTGATCTCAAAGAGGGAACCATATTTTTTCTTGACGTGAATTTTTTTTTTACTGTGTGGTGGTAGTATGATAAGAAATGACCTTTATGTCTGAGGTTCTTCTATGTTCGATGTGTTTGACAGCAAATATCATCTTCGACTGATATCAGCTGAGGAACCATTGAACTTTTTTGAGTATTGGATGGGTGTTCTAGTGCTAATTTGAGGACTTCTCATTAGTACACACCCATGCATTTGACTTAGCTTTTTTCACTTGAAGATGCTCATGACAGTGGCGTGTTCATTTAGGATCCGAATAGAACGTACGGAGGATATGAGTGTTTGTTGTCTTGGTGCTAACTGTATATGACAAACTTCGGTTTAACCATTTTTGCTTGTCATTTTTGATGAAACTGATCCATTTGTTAAACTGACGATGGATGCTATGCTATTGGATAGACGTCTATTCCGAAGCATTGAGAATATAAATAGTCAACAGAAGGAACTGTGATAAATTCCCTGAGTGTTGTTATTATCTAGGGGGTTAAATCAGCTCCGGTTGGTGGGTGGCTGAAAAAGAGACGAATTTGTTTCAACCTGGTAATATTGCATCACCTTCGGAGGACGCGACATTTGGTAAACCCTATTAACGAAGATATATAGTCTTCAGTCCTCAATGGTGTTGTTGTATATAATTGAGAAATGTGGTCATGAAAAATGAAGTGTTAACAAAGGATATGTCCATTTAACCATCGTTCTTCTTGTAATGTCTTGTCTGTGTGTATCTGTGTGTGATGAAACCATCATGTGATAACTGCAGAGGTTAACACAGTGGTAACAACTAGAAGAAGTAGTTCGACTGATACGGTTTCTAGCCTTAATCGACTCAGGTATTTTGCATACGTCTTATGTGCGCGAAAGGGTCACGTAATTCAGTGTACAATGATTATTTGAGTTGAAGTAGAATGAAAGGAACCTTAAATTGTTCAGAAATATGATCAGTAATGAAATACTAAGCTTAATTTCGAGTAAGACACTTGAAGTACAAACCTTAAAAAGGCTAATCTTAATACAGTAACATTCAAAGATGGCTATTCCATAAAGATGGATAACTGGATTTTCATGAACAACCAAAGGGTAGAAAGTGACAAGACGTAGTTAACACAAAGAAATCTACAGAAGAAACAGTAAGTTTGTTTCATTAGAAAATGTACTTTACTCCAAATGACTGCAGGTCAATTTAAAGGATTGAAACAATAGACCAGAAAGTCTCGTAAGTATGAATTGACTGCAGCAGTTGAAGTGTGCTGGAAGTAGGAGTATATATAAGAAGAATGTGTATCTCACAGAAATGAATAGAGGGAAATGGTAGAGATATAAGAGAAAAATCAGATTTTTGTATTTTGCAGTAAACTACCTTTCTGGAATAATCGAACTGGGCATTTTAGTATTTGCTGGGAAGATACTTTTAATAACTCAAACAACTAACTTAAAGGTCATCCCAGGAAAGACTGAAATGCCCAATTAGGTTTATTTATGTCAGCTGGAGAGGCACACGTTCGTAAAAGCAAGACGTTCATTTCCTTATTCTATTTGTTGTTTAGGAAACCTTTAGAATCAATAAATTACATTTCATCTCCTGTCTTAAAATGAATATTTACTATCAGTATTGATCCGATTATCTTCTTTCAGTCCCTTCCTGGTTATGACTATCTCGAAAGTGAGATGAGATGAGTTATAGGTACTTGAACTGGTAGGCAACTGTGCTAGACCAAATTCGTTAAGATTATCTGAATAATTATCATTCTGATTATCTGAGATATGCATGGATTAGCAGGCTTGTATTGATACTGCGGGATGATCGAATGTGAAATGAATATCTGTGTCGACTTAGAAATAACTAATCGCTTTCTGTATGTGTATATATATCCCGGAAACGTTTCAAATGACCGGTACTGTAATTGACTTTTAGTAAATGGTTCTTAGAAGTACAGAGATGTGGCCAGTTGTAGAACTCTAAACAAGCAGCCTGTGCGATGGTACTTCAATACCCCACCGATTAAGCTATGAGTTGCATGACTATCAAGGCTTTACTTTTGTTCATGAATCCATTACGCTAAAACTAGTTTATCAGACAAGGACAGTCTTATCAACTACAGGATTTCTATAGTTTTAGTTTGAATGGAAACCAGTTGAACTGTTTAATCGTTATAACTTCACATATCAACCCGAAGTTATCTCTGATGACTGACACTTGATTGTTTAAGGTTACCTTGATTGATAGACTCAAAAATCATTTATGCACTGATGAGGAACAAACCGAATAAGTGGGGCTGTGGCTTATTGGTTTAAGGAGATGTCTTTCAACCGATGGGTTGTGGGTTCGAGCTCCGCTCCACCTACCGAGGTTTGCGCAGACAAGTAGTTGTGTCATTAGGCCTCACATCATATGCGTGGTTCAACGCCTTGTGCACACATATATACAAGTTCAATGGTTGCACTCCGACTCCTTTCGATTCGTAAATCCAATATGTTATGCTATGCTAATCAGCATTTAATGAGAAAGCATAGGTACTGGTGACGACAAGATGCTAAATACGCCATACATGAGTGGGTCAACCTAGAATCTGGTATGGTAATTTATACATCTTTGATCAGTAATGAATAAGCCTGTCCCATCACTGTTGATTTGAACCCATTTCATCAAAATACCTTTAAAATCACCAGCTTCTGTCTTTCAGCTTAAACTAAACAAAAAAAATCATAGTTAATTACTTACACAACTCAAAATAGACTATAAAACAGTTTCTGATGACCCCACTTTTGATGTGCTACGCTGCTACGGGTTCGATCTCCGTAGTCACCGGTGCGAACTCCTGAGGAGTCCCAGACTTGGACGAAATAACTGTCCATAACTCCCAGGTTTCCAGCGGTTCTCCAGCCGACGTCAGTCAGTGATTGAATACAGAATTGAAATCAGTAAAATCTCTACAAACCTCCAAACTGAATTACTACCGAGTGTTCATTAATGAAATGCTTTGAGATGAGATTTCCAAACGTTCTGATGAGTTGTGGACGGTGGGGAAAATCAACTTGGACGTGAGAACAGATACTCAATGATGGCAATGGATGAAGGTTGTGCTATATCATGAACTGACAGAAGTAGGAAAATGTGAATCATTGGATTTCGACTCAGTGACTCAATGATTCAGATGATCACCCTTGAAAATCTTATTGATACAACTGTAGGGTAGTTGAAAAAGCATTGAGCTGCAAAATATTTTAACATGAACCGTGAAATTTGTAAAACGCTTGCAAATTGGCCATTCGATTTAAGGTGTACTGGCCTATCCAAACCACCTTACCAGGTTCAGTGGATGTGAACTATTCCGCTCTTTGACCTGAATCAATCTGGGTACAATCCTGACGAAGCTGGCCAGAAACCAGAGAAATGGCCTATCAGCGTTTTAATCACTCTGGTCTAGCTGTCAGTAGTTTATATCTGTTTAACAGTAATAACCAGCTTGTAATGATTCCAACCTAATCAATGTTTCCGGAGGGAAAAACCAGGCTAATCGTATAGTATTCATCTTTTGAGAACCACTGAAAACCTGGGACACTGGATACCTGTTTCGTAACCGTACGAGACTCCTCAGCAGGACGCATCCCTAACTCCTGAAGGAATCGAACTCACGACCTTCATGTTTCATGGTATATAGAAAAGGTGGTGAAAAAAGGGATGAATGAGAAAAAAATGAAATAGCAGGTACAATAGTAAAAACAACTCACAGTTACCATGGTAACACTAGACTGATAATTATCAGCTTTTCAGCGCTTGGTCGCTGTCGACACTGCGAAACGAAGAGAAATAAAAGTTCTTTATCCACTTGTTATATTAAAGGCTCTAGACATATCTACACTATGCTATGAACCAACTAAATAGTGTGTAATTGAAATAGTGAGTGATTTTGACCTGTACGGTTTCAGGTTCTTTCGAACATGTTTCAAAAAAACCTAGGTCCATCTTCCTATCCACCACTTGCTTCGACAAGTATATCAGATGGATACGTAAATACACTTGAAAGTGACGCTGAAACATGATACACTAAGATTCATTAATACCTTTATGGACAAAAAGATAGTCCTTTTCCATTCACTGGTTTAATTGTTCACATAAATAGTAGTGCATATCGTTTGTGTTGGAAGACCAGACAGCCTTGAAATACTTTCTCAGTTATCTGAATTCCATCCTCATTTTACCATTAATGAGCAAGCGACTGTAAAAGTTACGACTGAAGCACCCAAATAGGTTTCACTATTTCACCTGGTAAAGCAGTTTTTGTCACGAACTTATATTAGTTGGAGAACCATTGAAAACCTGTGAACAATGGATAAAAATATATCTCAGTTTGGGACTCATTAGTGACCTTGAATACGACCATTAACACTTATCAGAGATTGAAATTTTCCACTTTTCGACTGATATAACAGTAGCTGCTAAGGGATCAGTTATTCAGATTATTCTGGTTGAAACAGTGAACCGAATTGAGCGTAACAGGGGTCTAGATTAGTTGGTGTTCATTCAACTTTGAAACTTAATCGTTGACGTTTCATCATCAGGCCTGATGACATCAACAACACTAACTTCTAAAAGAAATATAGTATACCTACAGATAGTGTCGAAATGTGTTCGTTATGATCTTCATAACCGTGGATAGTGTTCAATTGTAACTGGGGCAATAGAGTTTCGCCGAACCTTGATCTGTTGACTTTAAATGTGATACAGCCACACCGTTGACATTAGAGATGCAATCTGATGGAAGACTGAGTCATTGACACGTAGGCATTGGAAAAACAATTTTGTAGAACTTGATGAAAATCATCACGGCTTCATTCTGATCCTACGAATCAATGTCTCGTGTGGATCATTCGAAATCTCCTCTCCTGCCCACTGAAATTTCATTGCTGTATGTCCAATGTGAACAATAATTGTTCAGTACTCTCTAGTGTTAATTTCTTTATGCTTTTTAGGTTATGCTATAAGACGGCCCTTCATTCAGCCCATTAAGATCCTTTCAATGCTATCTATTTTTCAAATTTTCATACATTTAGTTCGGTGAAGGCGATAAATGGTCGATTGTTGTCACGCCTTATCAGTATGGTTCAACTAGATGTCAGAATCCACCTCAGAGTGTCAATATTTATCAAGGTGAGTAGTTATATTTACTTCCTGAAAGTAGTATGTTACGTATCTGACATACTGTCTGTTAGGAGGCTACAGTCAACTAACTACTAACGTCAACCGAAGAAATCAGGTGACTGAAAGAAACAGAAAGTTGTTGTACAATGGAGCACAGTGATCGAAAAGAATGACTTAAGGATCCGATAGAACCAATTCAGCAAAATAATCTAATCTATCAAATACCATGTAATGACTGTGAGGTCAAGTATATAGGTCAAACTAGTCGGTCAGGGTCAGTTAGAATAGCCGAACATAGGAATTTAGCTAAATATAGAATAACAGACTTAGATAAGATCAATAATCTAGAAAAAAACTCGGCTGTTGCTATGCCTGCATTTAACACACAACCACACAATAGGGTGGATGGGATAAAGCCACTATACTTAAGTCCAATATAATTAGGTGGAGATAGGGAGAGATTGATTACTGAATCTTTTTTCATCGAATCAACTAATACTCAACACATGTAATAGAAACGATGCAACACACCTATACCAGAGATATGGAAAATTTTGCTACCAATAAAAGCAACTCATATGAGGTGACATAACTATAAAAATCAAATGTCGAAAGTGTGTGCGATTACATTCAGTATGATTATGAGTGATGATAATTTATGCTGGAAACGTCATCAAGTAGATAATACTAGATTACTCACTGTGTATTCTAATCAAATAAACAAATCTCTGATATGGAATTAATTTCTACCACAATGCACAAGTTTTACAGCTCTATATTAAGAATGAAATTATACAAGCTAATGAATAATGAATTACTCACTGGTCTCAACGAAGTACTTGTCCATGGTTGTACATTTCTTGGATTGACAACTGTTAGAACAACGAGTAAACACTTGTGACTGTTATATACCTATCGATGGAACAAAAGACGATGAGAGCCTCAGAGAAGAAGAATTACTTTCTAGTTAAAACTGTATACCTCAAATCAAGAGTTTCGTATTAACGTCTCACTCAGTTTAGTACACTTTGTGATTCTGAAATAACTGTCTGCTCAAGGAAATCACTCTATGTACTCAATTAAATCCTTTATCTGTGTATAAAATAATTCATTTCAGTTTTGCGAATTACGGGACATTATCAGCATACAATATTGATGAGAAACAAAACTCAATCAACAACACAATGTAGACATCCATGCAGTAGGCAATAAGCTACACCTATTTTGTGATGGTTAGTTAAACTATCTGACTGTCCAAACCAGGGTAAGTGAATAGTGGGTTCGAACCCGTGACCCACTGACGGGCAACCACCTCCCTTATTCATTGAGCTACATCTCGACAATGTAGGTAATTATCTGCATTACTGGGATATCACAAATAACCAAGACGATGAGCACCAGTATTGTCTTCCATTCAACAGAGGCTGCCACCATCCTAATGGGAATCATGAGACTAATGCGTGTGTGAATCGCGCATACAAGAAGCTGCATCAGCATGCTGAATTAATCATGTGCTCAATCTCAAGCGACTCAACAGGGCAAGCTAGCAAACAATGGAGTGACGAATTAGATTTCTGCATTTTGTAAAAAGAATACCTTTCTAAATGAAATGAAGAGACTTAATTGGTTATTTCAGTTGTTGCTAGGGTGGCCTTTAAATTACTCCGCAGTCAGACACATAAGTAAACTATTAAACCTCGTGATACGTATATACGGTAAAGGTTATAGTGCTCTAGACGCCCATATGGATTAGATGTGAAGACCAGTAACTCTACTTACTGTCTTTGCATTCAACTTATATTTCTGACACTTATTGTCAGATGCCAGTTAATGAACAGCAGTAGAAATCTGAACAAACAGATTTACTGTTCTCCTAGTGATCAACTTGATGTCATTTACTACATCAACTTGAGTGCTGAATATTGAGTAACTTTCAAGGCCATCCTAATAATTTTCGGTATAACCAATAACGTTTCAGTACTTAGGTTAAGAAATCAGTCTTTCAACTGACGAAATATACCCATGAATTGATATTAAAGAGTGAAATATGGTTCAAGTGTTGTCAATGAAGTGAAAATTGGTGATAATGAGGATAATAGAAGAGAAGTATACCAAATTGAACTGAAAGTTGACGAAATAGCCAAAAGGTAGAGAAAGTGGTTTTACAAAACGTTTGACAACACTTGAACCATATTTCACTCTTTAATATCAATTCATTCCTTAATCATTGACCTATTATTGTACACGTTCCAGCATAATTATCACTGTTTTACAATTTTTGACAACACGTGTCTCTTATCTCATCACTTGTTATCAATTCGTCCCACCTTATTCACAGTGATCCATTTACTATCTCTTCCACTTGATCAAATACCATCACCTCCACCGTTTGTATATTTTGCATATTGACTGAGCAAGTCTCTTTTTAGTGCCATTATCTGTCACTTTACTGAGTATAAATACGACTGTATAGCTTGATAATGAAGTCGTTGAAAAGAAATGCTTCTTCTAAGCTGATACATGCCTTGTTCTTGTTAAATCAGTTTTTCATAAAATAAAGACCTGTAATTAATTTTCTCACAGGCTTTCAGGGTGATTTTTAAAGTCATTGTTTTTGAAATAGTGGAAAATATTTGTAGCTCAGGTGGATGTTCTTGATTGTATTGTGTTCCCTGAGCTGGGTTGCTTAATCGCAAAGCTTTCATAGTCTTTCTAGACGACATCATCATCATCATTGACTTCGCCTTTGTCATATTGCTAAGCTATGAGATACGGCTGTTGAAAGAAAAAGTTATAAAGAGGTTACAAGTTTTTGGTTGTGGATATCTTCATATCACCCCTGGCATGTGGTAGAAGTGCAGAATGATCAATGTTGAAGCTAAGTATGGGTTACTAGGACACGAAAGTATTTAATTTGATGAGGTTTCAAATCTCCACTAGCTACAGTGGCTTGTGTTTGGGTTTCTAATGTAAAATCACAGCCTTTATCGACTCAATGTTACTGAAAGTAGGATTAGGTTTGCAAAAGTTAGTCCGAACAAGAATATATGGTTAGAGACTCCTGGTGGTGTCTCAGATACAACCACTCTTTGTTGACTTCAGAGTTTCAATTATTTTCATTAACAGCCATCAACGTATTTATGAACTAGAAATATGAAACGCAACATGAAGTTGTAAGTATGTAAAATCGGATTTATGAAAAGTTTAACATCTTTTTTTCAATTTGGAGGTTTTTAGAGATTTATTTACTGATCTCATTATGGATGTCATTTGGAGAATCATTGAAAACCTGGGAGCACTGGAAAGCTGTTCATTCCTAGCGCAAGACTTTTCAGCATATGATCCGACCAGGAGATGAACCTAAAATCTTCCGTTACTCCGTTTAGCACGTCTCCGTTGAACCACTGGGTCGGAATCCAATGTTTCACACTTCCTTATTTGCATCAAGATAAAATTCTGATGAGAAGTCATGGCCAGTGGAGCGAATTAAGTTGCACGTGAGGAGAGTTACTGAACACCAACATAGGATAGTGGTCACACTTTATCGTGAACTGACAGAAATATGAAAATGTGAACCATTAGGTTCAGACCCAGTGATTCAATGGTAACGTGCACACCACGTGATATTACTGTTCTGAGTTTGATTCCTTGCGGTATCATGGATGCACAATGCTAAGGAGTCCCATGCTGGGATGAAACAGATGGCTGATGCTTCCAGGTTTGCAGTGGTTTTCCAGCTGATGTCAGTCCGAAATGAATACCAATTTGAGATTTCTTTCAATTTTCGTGAAGTTTCGTAGTGTCAACAATAAGCAGTGATACGAGTCATAGTACTTATGGCATATAAGTAGTACAACTCTGACTTTCTATTTTGGATCTTATAGAATGTTACATAATGCGATAAAAAGTTTATCTTAAGCCACAGTATTTATCATTGTTTGAAGAATGAATTCGTTGATAAAATAAATATCAACCTCTGAAATATTTTTGAGATGGCCTATGATATCACTCAGTCTTTAAAATTATAACACTGAGATTACCTTCGTGTGTCAGATTGATGACCGTAGGCGAAAAGAAACCTGTTTAGAAGACTGACATTTAGTTCACTTATTGCAGCCGTAGGCTAGTAGGGTGATGTTGACTGATTTTAATCCTTCCAGGATGTAATTTTGCTGACGTCATTAAGCATCTTTTTCTAAAATCTGAAAAGAAGGAACTCTACTCATATCTCTACTCGGAACAATACCTTAACGTGGTGTTCATAAACTAGTTAATCTCATAAAGTTGGTAGTGCTAGTTTCGAATCTCTGGTAAGGCTCATCGGTCTAGCGAGTCGACATTCAACCAATGAGTTGCGGGTTCGAGCATCACCCCACCTACCATGGTTTGAGCAGGTTGGTAATACTCTCATTAGCCATTACACAATAGGCACAACTCATTGTCTGATGCACAAATGTGTACAAACTTACTGAATGGATATCGGTCTCATAGAAAATTCTCACTAGAGATTGGGTTATTTTTAAAAAATCTTAGATGTCACATTGTTTTACTCGCCTGTATTAGTTCCATTTTGTTCCAGTGGAAAATAAAGACAGGAAAAGCCCGAGTATATTATCTGACTACATAATGTGAACACTTTCTAATTTCAAAAGGATCTGGGCTTGTGGTAAATCATCAGCATGCAATCTTTGTGTAATATAAAGGCGAAAAGAGTTTATTTCGGGTTAATTATACTTAAGCGGTGAAAAGAGAGATGATTGTTAGTCAACACGTGTTCATGTTATGACGCTGAACAAGATTTTAATGTTTTACTTCAGATCGGTGAACACGGAATCCTCATGGAGGATTGTATCATAATGTTGCCATGTTCAGTTATGCGTTAAACAAATATTCTCTCTGATTTGCTCGAAAGATAATCTTCATGATATTTAGTTTATCTTAATTTCTTTTGTTATTTTTACAGATACCCATAAAGTCATCATATCAGATGTTTGTTTGGAAGCTGGATTGCCAATTGTTTTACGGATTGTACCTGAATCATATCCAGAGGGAGCGTTTACAGAAATTCTGATAACAGATGTTAGTGCTTCATGAAGTTACCCGATACCATTGTTATATATTCGAATTCAGTAATGCTAAAATTCTCATTTAGACATTTAGTAAAACAAACAATGTGAGCGAAGAAATATTTCTTTTCAATTAGTTCCTCATCAATAGCTCTACACTAAAATTACATACCAATCTAGTGGTGAGAGTTGTTCAATGAAAGGTTATCAATCTCAAAGTATCAAGAAGGTGATAATTGATCAGGTAATTAAGACAGTTAACTAAAGCATAGGAGATTAATTCTATTAGAAAGATTTTGTGAACAGGTTCTTACATAATTGATATTTTGTATAATGATAACTAAAGAGTGAAAATGAACTGTTACGTAAAATGGTAAATTGTTGACGGTAATTAGAGACAGTAGGGGGAGAGGAAGATGGCTAAGTCTGTAGTAATAACTAACAATAGTAATAATAATAATAATAATAGAGCTATTAAAATATTAGTTATGGTGAATTGTGTGGTGGATGAAATGAAGAGTCTTGTTGTAATAAATGAGCTATACAGATGGCCAAGGCAAAGAAAGAGGCTGCACGAATCTCTTCTGAACACACAGACTTGGCTTGTGTAGGTGGATTCCTATGGCTTCTGCTCTATGTAAAAGACGAACTCGTAGAGGATGGTTGAGGTGAGAAGGAATATGATAAATAACTCTAAAGGCATTATGAATGTTAACTCGGTGGCCGGTGTCAATTAGATGAGAGAGTTTTGTGTCAATCTGGTTTCCCCCTTGCTTAACCATAAAGGATGATGCTCGGCGATTCGACGACGAACTTGCCAAACTGTAAGTCCAATGTAACTAGCTCCACAGGAGCAGGTGAACTGGTAAATGCACATAGAAGAGGAGAAGTCAGGGAGTCTGTCTTTAGTTCGTGTGGTCATCATCGGCCGGCTGTAGAAAACACAACATAACTTGGCGGCATTGAATGATCTTCTTATGGCATTTCTTAAGCGTTGTGTCACAGTTTCGTTGATGATGTCACATCGAAATTGTAGTCTTACAAACAATGGTTTCTTGGAGACTGTAGGCATTCTGGTTTTCATATTGGATGTGTTCATATTTTTAGCCAGGAACGTTTCTGGATATCCATTACTACTGAGTAGATCGTGGATAATTTGAAGCTCTTCGTCAAAACTATCATCTGAACAGATGAGACTAGCCCGATGGACCAAACATTTAAAGAGATTTCGTTTATATTGCAAGGGGACGAAACTCAAGAAGTGGGTGTATTGACCTGTTGACGTTGGCTTCCGATACACACTTCTTTTTATAGTTCCATCCACCTTCCTTGTCAATAGGACATCTAAGAAGGTGATGCTGTCGTCACTTTCTGTTTCATCCACCACACAATTCACCATAACTAATATTTTAATAGCTCTATTATTATTATTATTATTATTATTACTATTGTTAGTTATTACTACAGACTTAGCCATCTTCCTCTCCCCCTACTGTCTCTAATTACCGTCAACAATTTACCATTTTACGTAACAGTTCATTTTCACTCTTTAGTTATCATTATACAAAATATCAATTATGTAAGAACCTGTTCACAAAATCTTTCTAATAGAATTAATCTCCTATGCTTTAGTTAACTGTCTTAATTACCTGATCAATTATCACCTTCTTGATACTTTGAGATTGATAACCTTTCATTGAACAACTCTCACCACTAGATTGGTATGTAATTTTACTTTTGAAAATGCTATATTAGTGTAGAGCCATTGATGAGGAACTAATTGAAAAGAAATATTTCTTCGCTCACATTGTTTGTTTTACTAAATATTCGAATTCATATATCGCCTAGTGGAAAGTAATCTATAGTTATAATTGTGTACCGTTTTGGTCAGCTGCAAATCAGTGGCTAATTGAATCAAACAGTCATACGTCTACAGAGGTTGAATAGTCAAACAACTGATTCACCACATTGTCTAGTGCAAGGATATGAAGATTATTTCTGGACCCCCTTTTTGTCTCTTGATTTTCAGACATCAAATAGCCGTGTCCACTATCTGGATTGATGTGATTTAGACTAAAGAGGAGAGTGTTAATGAGTTAGGGGACGCTTTATCAGTGATGAATCAAAAGTGGTTTACCTAGCGGAGAGATACTAATAGACATTTCCTGTTCAAATCGGAGCGATTTTTCAAGATGAATCAACCTAGGTAGATGAGTTAGTCATTAAACAAGAAGAACTTCTGTTCAGCTTTCCTATCTTAATTTGATTTGGTTAGTATGCACTGCTGATCATCACGTTTGGCTTAGAAAAGCTTTTAAGATCATAATTTTCATGTTTCAGGAAAATGTTAAGTAAATAGCATATTACACTATGGAGATTTAAGTTCTCAAAGGAAATTGTGGATCACATGGTGGATATTCCGTTCTTCAAACAGTTCTTGATTTTATTTTGTACTTCATCGTTAACTTTTAGACTTGTTGGCAATATTCTTCATAAAAGAAATTACCTTAGATATACTGACTGGTCACTGAAGAGCAATCAGTTTAATGTTTTATAGTTCTTCTTCATTTCAAACCTAATTCTATCGATCACTGCAATCTATCCACCAAACTAGGAGACTGACCATCATGATACAGTTTCATTAATGTGCACTGTGATGGTCAGCCTTCTTTCTTGGTGGTCATATTACAAATTGGTCTGCACTGAAGAAGGATTACGAAAAATGAAAATGATTGCTTTCCAGCGGCCGACCAATATATCTAACACAGTTCTGCAGGAGACTAATTGCGGCCCGAATAGCACAGTGGTAATGTCACTGACTACAAGACCGGTTGATACGAGTTAGAATCTCAAGGTGAACATTATTCCTGTAGAGGTTGAAGGTACGCCTTATTGACGAGTGCCAAGAAGCACGAAGCTTAGATGGAGTAGAACTTCCTGAAGATTGCCTCCAATCAACTGATAAATTATCTTAGAATCTGTTTTGTTGTAAAATAGACAGGATAGTCCCTGAAATACATCATTCTGCTCAAAGAATGGAAACCCACAAGAGTGTCTTTCTCTTAGGCTATTTATGCATATTTATCTACAAATCTAAATTCACAAATATATAAACAATCCCTATTGTTATTATTATTATTTTCTCTCATCAATTTTATCAATGAAAAAGATCGTACTGATACCAACTGATGACAGTGATTTAGCTCGTCGTTGTGAGCCTTTCCGTGAAATTGCTATGGAGATATTGGCTGGACGACGTGAAGACAGAACAACAATCCCAACAGAATGTGAAGTTTACTTCCGTCTACCACGTTTAAGCTGGCGTGAGAGTAGTTCAGTAACAGCAAGTCAGTTTTATAATCTTTAGTTTATAGTTTAAATGAAATTATTGGTAAGAATGTAAAACAAATACTGAATTTTGAGGCTGTTGTGGGCATTTGAAAATATTTCAAGTTGTGATATATTGTGAGCTAACAGAAGTTTGAAATATGGACCATTAGATTCTGACCCAGTGGCTCAATGGTAACGTGGTGACCACGGAAACTGAAGGTCGTGGGTTCGATCCCTGGGGGCGTGGTCGTGGTTGCGGTCTGCTGAGGAGTGCCACACTAGAACGAAACAGCTGGCTATCCAGTGCTCCCAGGTTTCCTATGTTCCTCCAACTGATGTCAGTCTACGATGAATAACAACTTGAAATACTGAGTTGATTTTGTTATATCCGTTGAAAAGTGGGGTAACATGAATCTGTGAAAAGTTTCACTGGTTGTATTATTTTATTTATGTTAAAATTCATTTTAATTTTGACTTGATTGATAACATTTTTGTATAGGACAGTTCGAGAGGTTTTGATTGACCCCTCATCCATTCCTACCTATATGAATTATGGTTTGGAAATAATTTTGTGTTGAATGAAATCCAATATTATCCATTATCTCATATGTTGTGCTTGTAATTGGTTGTTTTATCTTTGAAAATTATAGTGCTTTGTGGTCAGGCAATTTACTTTTATATACAGATGAATCAGGTCACCTCAAATATATACGGACAGTAAGCACTAGACTTTATGTTGTGATGCACGCAATTGGTAGGGTCGAATTGTGTAACTTACTGTTTAGGTGGATTGAATATATGAAGTTGGGCAAGTGTATTCGAGACGAATTACACGCAAGATCAGCACTGAAAATGGATCGAGAGAATTAATTATATGCTTAAAGTAATCGCAACTATACAAGGTTATAACAGATTTATGAATATGATCTAAATTTTCAGTTCGATCATCCAATCAACATGAAAATCATAGTAGTTTTGTACCTATTAAATAAAGCCAGAAATATTCTGACGGATCCGGAGAATATAAAAAATCAAAATTTTCAAAGTAAAACAAGTATTAATACAAAGCGTTTTCTGAACAATATTCTCAACAAGCGACGAGATAAGATAAGTAAGACTGAAAACAAGTCATGGATATCAACAATGACTATTCCATCTAAAAAAAAAGGTATTTCAGAATAAATGGAAAAAGTTTGTACCAGGTTTAGCATCATAGTCTATTTCAAAACCTGTAAATTCTTCGAAGAAAGCCTCAGTCAAAGTGAAAGGTTTAACTTCAAAAATGACACAAAACAATTGTGTGTATGTGTGTGTATGTATCAGATAAAATGTACAGAATATGAAGCCAATTATATTGATGAAAGTTGTCGACAGTTGAATGTTAAAGTGAATGAACATGAATTATTTAGCAAACACTCACTGAAGAATGAAGTGGAATTAAAAAGTTTGGAAAAGAGGTCAGAAATAGTAATGCATACCATTGAAAGTTGGCATAAAATTGATTTTGACAATGTTGATATATTTGAGAAAGGTTTCCATTCACAGAAACAATGATTGACCTCTGAAGCCTTGCATATTTTAACGTCAATAGATAATATAAACAGAAAGGAAGGAAGGGATAGATTTTCACCTATCTCGCAGACTCTAGTTCAACACATGGTAGTCGGGTAAAGCCCATTATCATTCAAGTGAAATAAAAATCTGGTCAGTAGTTGGACATTGTAACTCAGCTCGTAGAGCATCGAGCCCGGTGGTCGTTTGTTCGAATCTGGCTGTGGTCCGGATTTTCATTTCACCTTCAATCACCACCCAGTATAAATGCTAGTCTGCCAAACCAAGGGTATCTCTGATATTTTAGTGTTATTGCTTGTATTACACCGTCGTTGATAGGACCGAATTGATCAGCCTCTCTCAGATAGTCAAAATGATTTATTTTAATGTGGAATGAAAATTTGAATATACTACTGAAGAAACTTACACAGTGAAATGTTCAGAAAAACCTTTTCTTTGATTTACTAAACACCCTGGGTTTATATTAGAACTTATATAATGATTAAACCTGACTTGGTGCTCAACTTCGTTCAGGACATTTGTAACAACTGTGGCTTGGATGTTTATAATCTGGTTTAAGAATGCGTTTACTATTTATGGATGCATGTTGATAACTATATTGGATCGAATTGGTTGGGCTCCATGAAAAGTCACCTCCATATTACCCCATGTTTCATTGTGATGTTATTAGCTTTATGTTTGATAGCAGTGGGATGCAGGACATGCATTTTATCCAATTTGGAACTCGTCAGTTCAGCATACCTGGACCCCAGCGAGTGAAAATGTTCTCACTGAGACTCCAGCCCAGAACACATCGCTTTTTTCCGACGTGTCATGAAATCCGGGACCTTTATCTTCCGCGTTCCGGGTTTTCAATGATCCATGGTGAATACCAACTTGAAGTGGATCTTAGATTGATGATTTTATTCATTTTTTGGCTATTAAATATACACGTATATATTCTTGGGGATTAATAGTTGCTTACATGTTGTTTTCATATCATCAGGATGTCTATGCAATTCAACTGGTTCACGTTCAGAGATATGCGATAAAATGACAGGACAGTGTCCTTGTAAAGAAGGTGTAGTCGGTCGGCAGTGTGATCAATGTGCACCATATCATTATGATTTCAGTGCAAGAGGATGTACCGGTGAGTTTCTTTTTCAAACAATCATTTTTATTGAACTAGTTGATTTAAACAAACTTGGTAAATCTGGTCTGTTTCTGGTATGTATGCTGCACAGATAAATATTATTTATTTTCACTAATAGAATTAGTAAATAAGGTGATGTAAATGAACAGAGGTAATTGAGTGAATAATAACAATAACGGACTATACTTACACAACGTGGTACTCGGACCGCTTCCGAAACGCGACTGTTCTTCCTCAAACCATATAATTCACTGAGCTGCGAAAATCAGAAGAAAAAGACATGTGACTTTAACTTCCATGAGATTGAATAACGTAAATAGCGTAGAAGAACTACAATGCATGTATTTCGTGGATTTTCCTCCTCAGTTGCCTTACAACATATAGAATGTAACACTTATAACAATTAATGTCTTATCCAGAGTACTTTGATAAATTGGCAAAAATGTTTCCATTGAGATAAAATTTAACAAAGATTTACGTTGAAGTTGTTACGGTTACTCAACGGTGTTGTAAGCCCCAGACTTGCGTAGAACATTGTTATTGGTCTGAACATTTTTTTTAACTTGTCATTTTCATGCCATTTTTACAGCATGACTAATAGTTTATTCTCTGCCCCCATTTGTAATGTAATTCGTTGATTGGTTAATTTTTTTCCATACTATGTTAATGCCTTAATTTGCAGACAAGGTCATATATCATGTGTATACATACTCACGCGTTTTTGAATTTATTGGTTGATTATACTTGGAGGAATAAACTCTCCCATCCAGCTTCGGTCTTCTTTTCTATTTTTCTTGGATTGCAGTCAGTGGCTCTTGCGTACGAAGTTACCTGTCAGTTAAGCGTGTGTATTATATCCGCTTGGAATATATAGCAAAAGGCTAACTGTTTATTCAGAGACGGAATGGACATTCTAGAGATCAGAAAAAAATAGGAGGGGATTGTGGACAGTGTTATTCAACGTCTAGTAATCGGGAAACAACATCATGGTTAAGTAAGCGTAATAAAAGGTTAACACTTTGTCATCAGACTGAGTAAGAAGATGAATACAACTCAATAAAGATGAGATTAGTTTTGAAATATGAGGAAGTGTAAAGAGAAAAAGTCGAAGGATCATGAAACTATGAAATTTTGGAGATTAAAATTGACCTAAGGTAAAGCAAGAATGACAACAGTATCTTTCTGGATGGAAAAGAGATCAGGTTTGAGTCTTTTTACTGCCACTACTTCAGCAAATCGCAAAATGTTGGTGGGTTTCTGTTGTTTGTTGATCACTTTGAACGATTTTGATACATCGACTTCATGTTCATGTATCCTAATTCCTATGAGTCCATATATATTATCCAACTACTTTGGATCAAAGGTGATAATAAAGATTTATCTGACAATAATTTTAAGGCAGTATTTATCACGGACTGACATCAGTTGGAGAACCTTGGAGTTCTGAAAAGCCGTCACACTCTAGCATACCACTTCTCAGTCGTACACATTTATGACTCCGTCAGGAAATGAACTCAGGACCTTAGGATCTAGTCTTCAACACGTCAGCCACTTAGCCACTGGATCAAAGTTCAACAGTCCAAAGTTTCATGCTTTTGTCAATTCACCAAAGTCCCCAGATGGTATTCGTTTCACTTCCAACTGGTCAGCACCATAGCTCTTTGAAATACAATAACTTTGAGAAAGTTAATTTCATTTCTACAAGTTTGCAATATTTCAGTGAGATGCTATTTAGCATAACAGAAATGACTAATTCATATTTCAGCTGAAGTGTATTGAGCAACAAATGAACAAAAAAGTAATTGTAAGATTATCGTTAAATGAAAATATTCTGTAGACTGCATGTTTAAGTAGCTACATCAACTAGTAGGTGGAAATAACTAAACGATTTCATGCGTACTTGTTTTTGTGAAGATATAATTTCTTAACTAACAATGTAAAGTAGTTAGATAGGTGTATTTAGTATCTTTAGCAGTAGTACCAAGTCAGCTTAACTGACTTCTTCTTATAATTTAGAGCAGAAACCTTCGGTTTTAGAAAGTTTTCATGGTTTTCCACGTCATCTAAACGTCACTGACCATAGAACCGGCTTCCAGTTAGGTGCATAGGCATAAAAAGATGTACACAACGAGTCATTCGTTCATAATAACAGAGAAGGCTCCTAAGTCCTGAGTATTTACCCGTATCTCCTTAGTTGGGATGGCAGTAAGTGTCTTGCCTGGGCTATCTCGCTAAGGCCGGCAATATCTTGTACGCATCTCTTTGCTAATTTGAACCCTACAACTGTATCCGGGCGTTTCAGTCCTTAGTACTTATGTGGTTAGCAGACAACCAACCAGGTTTTGGAACCAATCGGTAAATGCTTCCAACGATCCATTCAACACCCATAAGGGATGATAAACGCTTTATCACTTCGATGGTGGTTCAGTCACGAGGGTGAACCTCATCATTGGCCTGCAACCTAAACCAAAGATATTGGTAGAAATGCCAGTAAGCTCGGTCCCGTTACGAAGCCACAGTTTAGGGAGACAGCAGGTATATAACCTGCAGCCTTCATCATACCTTGCATACATCGTGAAAAAGAAACTGTCCCATGGCCCATCATGTATCAAACGGCATATTACCGTATGGAGCACCCTCAACTTTCAAGTTAGGTATCCCAGATGGTACAAATGCTTTTGATTAGCTCGGCCGTTACTCACACTGAAGTAGGTTTTTCCACTCCTAAACCCTAACTGTGAACTGAAAGATCTAGCAGTGAGTTGGCTCGCAGACATATCTGTTGAAAAGCAAAACCATGAGCAGGTCCACCGTCGTATGCGACTAAGCCTGACAAGTAATTCTAGGCACAAAAATCATAATGGGTTTTCAAAGGCCAGCAACATAAACCCAGGAAAATTTAACGACATGATGATGAGTTTCTTAAAGTTGACGCCTTGGCAAGTAAATATGGGGCGCACCTATATTGTCTTACGAAAGTCATAGTTTCTTCGAGCAGAAACCCTTTGGGCGTGCTGTCTTAGCACTAAGAACAGCGGAATTTCGTGACATGGAACCGGAGAGATGCCATCCAAAATCCATAGATTATAATGTTGATAGATCGCATGCATCCCAGTGACCACTTACGATGAAATAATAAGGGAACAGCTAATGAATATGTGACTGTGAAATCCAGAGGCTGAAATTAGAAGGGTGGTAGAAGCTTAAAGAAAACAATTGAAAAAAACTATAGGTGGGGGACGCTTCATGACAATCTCTTCTCAGTAGAAGCTACAAAGATTAAAACAAACATATTTCACTTTCAAGTGAACTGGATATTCAATATGTTTACTCGAACAATACAAGATGACAAAATAATTAACATCACAGTCGCAATGGACAAAATTGATGATGATAATTGCAAATTATCGTCTAACGTCGATATATTCATAAATCGGAGAGATCGGAATGGACTCAACAACCTTGTGCATATTCACACACTAGGCAATGAATCACACCTATTGTATGAATGCTAATTATACTACCTAGTTGCCTAAACCTCGGTAGGGTGGACCAGTGTTCAAACCCCTGACTCATTGGTTGAAATCCACCTCTCTAAACTAGTGAAACAAGTTAATCTCGGTTTATCTTACCAATCTTACACTATGAAAGTCAAGATGAAATTTGCATACCACATACTTTATTGATTAAATGTACCAAGTAATCCTGAGTTAGGCATAACTTGGAAACAGAAGTGCAAAGTTCTAGCATATCTACCTAATATATTTAACTTCTAATTTGATTTATTATCACCTATATACTTGTTAAACTTTGTAAAAAGGCACTTCTTGATAACCTACTGGATTCGAACCATTTATTAAGAGGACATTTCACTTCGGTAAGGTTCATTCAACTCATTGTTTCTCTGTCAACATCATCTGCTCACCAGCAGAAAAGAAGCTAATCATAAGTAGAATATAAACAATGAAAATGTTTTTGGTATGATTCAACGTCAGTTAAACAGAGTATTGAACAACTGTTTCACTTGAGTCACTGACTTTTCATCAATGAACATTGTCGACCATCTTTTCCAACACGTAACAACAACAGGTTGTTTACTTTATATCGCAGAGTTGAGAATTATACGATCACACTAAACACATAATCAAAACCCTTATGTGAAGAATAAAGCTGGGAAACCAATCAATGTCTCATTCCAGCAGTGACTGGAGGCAGTTGTAGGAAGCAGTCGACGTAAGCTGTGTGCATGTTGACATTTACCAACTAGGAGCCTCTGGTACCATGGAAACTGACTTCTTCTTAGTTGTGCGGATCTGTGCCACACAGTACTGAAGTCACGGAACTTATAGTTAACCTGTTTAGGTCATTATGCGGGTCGTTTAAGACTGATCACCGATGAGTAACCGTTGTGGATGTCTAGTTCTTGGTGCTTAGGTCTGACTAAGTTCTATCGATATATTTCAATCAGTGTAAATGTTGACTACTTGAAAGTTTCGTAACTAACATATTTTCACCTATTTGTACATGTATTCTCTTATTTTTTCAATATATTTCCAGATTGTGCCTGTGATCCACAGGGATCCGTCAGTTTACAGTGTCATGAATCTACTAGTCTTTGCCGATGTCGTCCTGGAATTGTTGGGAAACACTGTAATATGTGTAATACTGGATATTGGGATTTTCCAAATTGTCGGCCATGCGTATGCAGCGGTTTCAGTGATCGGTGCAATCAGGTAAGTAGTATTGTTAAATTTAAATTCTAATGAGGAGTTGTGACTGGTTGGGCAAACCAAGTCGAACATGGAGACAAAAAGTTAGTGACAGGATTGAGTGGAAGTTGTGCTACATCGCAAAAAGAACAGACACAAGGATCCGACCTAGTGGCCCAATGGTTATGCGATCACTATGGAGCCTCAAGGTCTTGGATCTGATCCATGACGGATGTCTCAAGTACCCACTGTTGTGGAGTTACATATTAGAATGAAACAGCTATCCAGTGTTCCCAGGTTATAAAATGGTTCTCTAAATGATGTTAGCTTGTGCTGACCACCAAGATGAAATTCTTAAAATTTTTATTTGTGTTATTGTCGATAATGTCAGTCAGCCTGAACCACATGTAAAAACAAGATATTCAGCGAAGAGGACTCTTTTCAATAAATTCATTATCAAGCTGAATTGACTGTACTAGTCAATTTATGCGTTTACTCACACATGGGTGACACAAATATTCACCTTTTTATAGTGGATAAAAGTTTAGGTTTACAATCATAAGTAGAAATCTGAAGGTCACATAAGGAGTATTGTTGAGTTAAAGTGACTGTCTTGTTTCGCACATGTTTGGTTCTTTTTCTTGAGAATGACTTTAAGAGTGGCTCTCAAAGCACCCTATCAACTACCGAGACGGTTAACTACGTCTCTTTATTTTATGAAAAACTCCTTTTCTAGCCGGAATCCGGAGACCTGATTGTTTATTTCCACAGTCGCTAGGGTGGCTTTTGAACTCAAAGTGACTTTAAAGGCCACCCTAGCAACTGCTGAAAGACGAGTGAGGCCCGGGAAAGTAATTCTCCATAAAATACTGGAATGTAACTGGTTCCCACCAGTTGCCAGGGTGGTCTTGAGCTTAGCAAGAGTTATGTAACTAAACGGGTAGAACTAAACAGCCGATCACGTTTTAGCATGCACTGATCAATTAAAATAGAGCATTTGAAGGACAAAATTTCTGTCAAGAGAATGGTACTTTATTTAGAATGTATACATCTGTTTTACATGAGCAATAAAGAAATCTAGAATTCACCATCTTTGAAAGCATGCTACTGTTTGTATTTCCATCCATCCGTATGGGACTATATAATATCACCGTGTGACTTTGTTAAAGGTCTTGAGAACTTTCTAAGACGACCACATATTTTCAACATCGTTTATGTGCACTTCAGTTGTTGGAACAACAAAATACTTCTTCTGAATAATAGCGTTACAGCGATAACCAGATAACGGAAGGTATTACTTCTTAGCATCTGTGTACATTGTGTTAACGGATACTATTCATTTTTCTACAACCAGTAGAATAGATTCTTGTGATTTATCTTTTATCCAATGAAAATGTCCTTTCTTCGTATTTTCTATCGTATATACCAAGGTTATGGATTTTGTCAAGACTAATGTAGGTAACTTATCCAGTCCCATTTAAGTAGTCTTCCTAGGTTATATTTATCTTCCTGAAAAAGAGATTCATCTATTTCTAACATATTATCTACTCCACCAAACTTCTTATCCAACCTGAATATTATTTAGAAGAAACTGTCTATACAGTGCTGATACGATTGAACTGGAAAAATGTCATTAGCATCTATCGGAACTTCTACTGATATTGCAGGTTCTCCAGCAATCTAATTCAGTAATAAATTTATTATTTGTTGGAGTTGGATGAAATCTTCTCTAAAAAAAGGTTCCTGTTCTCAAAAATTTGTTTTTACAACAGTTGGGAAAACAAAAGATGAAACTATCTTTTTTCTCATTGTTGATTACACATTCCATCACAACGCCACATTTTACAAGTTAGATTCGTCCCAAGTAATCCAACTCTGTAAATAAGCCCAAAAGTAGTCTTCGTCATAATTCATCAACAGCTTGTGGTCATATGAATAACATGGTAAACGGAAGCAAATGAATGACCTTGAATACAGCATCTGCAACCTGATTGGTCCTCTTCAACATTACGGTCTCGGGAGTTTAGTTCTACTCATAAACAAGTTAAAGCTTGGACGGAAATTTGTTTAATGAAGTTTTAGTTCACTGCAGTCTAGAATATCTGATCAAATCGGTCATTAGCTCATTTAGCAAATATCTTTTCATTTCTGAAGCTTATTTTCAAAAGAATGAAATCTTGTTTCTCTGAGTCAATAAAAGTACAGTATAAAATACATTGTCTTCTAGGGGTTTTCTGTCACAAAAGCTTTCTTTACATCATAACTATTGTAAACGATGTGTTGTAGGACGGGGTTATATATATATTTACTCTTACGTTGCCTGATCTACATCTCGAGGTGTTTGTATCGGTTTTTCTGGCGTACAACCAAAGTGTTTAACTCCATGAGAGTATGTTTGTGAGCGAGTGAAAATTAAAAAACCCGGCTATGAGTATCCTGATAAAAATGAGACTTGGTATGCAATTATAAGTTGTGTGCAATGTTGAGACTATCAGTTCGAATCCTAGAGAAACTCATTCTTTCTTTCATTATGCTGTATAATCTTCATAAATTTAGAATTGCATGAGACACCGAGGCTAGTCGATCAACTCATAAAGTATGTAACTATTTTCGAATAGTTAGTTATGAGTAAGTAGACTTTAAATATACTAGCAAATATTCATCAGTTAATCGGGGATTAGTGTTTATTGCTTATCAGTTACTAATCTTTCGAAGTCAACAAGATTTCTAATGATTATATATATATATATATATATATATATATATATATATATATATATATATATATATATATACTTATCTCTAGAAATGTGAATCATACCATAAAATGAGTAATCAAGCCACTCGGCAATCATGATTCTAGAATGTTTACCACTAAGTCTGCTGGTTCATGGTTCAGTCTCGAGTTCTTTAATGTACAGTATTGATGGCATATGTTTGAAGAGGAGGATGATGACTAGGAAACATACTTTATTTAGTCACACTTATGTCGAATAGTGCTACTGAATAATATCAATGCAAATATAACAGCCTTCAAGTATGACTTCTATTCCTGAAAGTCAAATTTATCCTCAATTGAGCTTTAAGTATCGAACTCTTCGGAATACTTACTACACTATACGTGAAGCAATCGCACCCAGATGAACTACCAAAGCTGAACTTCATTCTTTTAGCGGAAATGGTCTAATAAAAGTATGGAAAATCTAGTCAAGCTTCTTTTAGTTTCAAATTTCATGATACTTGTATTCTTGTTAATTTACTAACAAAGATAATTTGTTCCATTTTCAATCTCTAAATTTTTTGGATAGACAACTGGAGTATGCGAAGATTGCCGAGATAATACTGGTGGTGATCATTGTGAAACTTGTCGGGAAGGATTTTATGGTGATCCATTGAGAGAAAAATTGTGTAAACCTTGTTCATGTCCAGGTGGTGGGTTGAATCATGCTAAAGAATGCCGTATGGGATCATTGGAAGAACAAGTATGCATTTGTAAAGTCGGTTACACAGGTAATACTTTGTCTGGTTGAAATATTTCTTCGTTCGTCATATTTCTTTCCAAAGTAGATTCTTAAACTTTCCTTATGTAAAGCTAATTTCGGACTGTTTTTATTGAGTGACTTTAAGGACTATTCTATGAACTACTAAAATAACCAGTTAGGTCTCTCTATTTCAATTGGATTTATCAAAAAATACAGAAACTCGATTGGTTTCTTTAGCAGTTGTTAAAGTGGTCTTCAGAGTCACTCTTTTTTGACTGGTCAAATGATGTTATATATTCAGCTCTTTCCCATCATATCCACGAGTTTTAGAAATGACTTTAAAGGCCACTACTGAAATAACCAATTACTTTCCTACATTTTATGAATAACTGCCTTCTCAGCTGAAATACGGAAATGCGACTGGTTACTTCAGAAGTATCTACAGAGGCCTTTAAAGCCACCCCACGTCACCAAGGCAAGAGAAAATCCTGTTCAATGTCACATGATTTACGATGATAGTTTCAAATATACTCTGAAGCTTGAGTGACTTTACGGCACTCTGTAACTGTTGAGATAACCAGTTACGGTTTTCTATTTTGTGAAAAACTAACTTCCTAGTCAAAATGCCAAAACGTGATTAGTTATTTTAGCAGTCGCTGGGATGATCCACGAAGTCACTGAACTTAAAGCTACGATCATAGACACTGTGTCGAAGGTGTAACTCTAGGGATCACCTTGAAAACAACCAAAATGTTCAGTTCAACTTGTTTATTTTATGAAAATCTGACTTTTCGGCCAATATAAATAAACACTATTGGTTATTTCAGTCATTTCTAAGATGACCTATATAATCACACAAATATAGCCCTACAATCTTATTTTTCCCATAATCGTGAGTAACCGACTGAGCTGAACACAAGATATTCTAAATGCTTTCACTAGTAGCCCCTTTTCCTCTCTTTTAGATTTACAGTTAATGGGTATTTACAGCTGAACAACATGTTCACAGAGCAACATACTTTACAGTTGATTACTTGACGATTACTTTTCAACAATAATATAAACAGTTTGAAAGAAAGCTGATAAAAACGGTTACTAGATAAAAGTTATACTTCAATGAGTAGTCAGTACTTTCGAAACTATTCCGTCAAGTCTTAAGTGTAACTGATAAAAAAAATACTTGACCAAGTTTACATCTCCTTTTCTTTGTACGACCGTAACAGTCTTTATACGATATTCAGCATCTCCTAGAATTTTTAATTTTGTAAGTTTGAGGTATTAGATCATGTAGATAGAATAGTTAGTTGATAAAGTTGTCAACTTGTACCAATTGAGATACCTTAGATGTGTAACTCACGTCTACTTACTGCCAACTTCAACTTGGTGTAGTAACTAGGATTGAATAGGATTACAAAAAGGTTGAGAAAGATACAGCAAAACTACACATGAAAGCATAAAGTGCGTGACTGATGACCTTAGCTATGTTCGTTACTGAACAATACGTACACATTGTTAAAAGTGTCAATGAGCGCAATATATCGAGGTCAGACAAAGCCTTCTACTGACTGGTTCCTACCCAAAAAACAGCAAAGTGATGTTCATGTACACAACGACGACTTCGGTTGTCGACTGTTGTTCTAACTGGTTTTCTGCTGTACGCATTAAGCTGTTCAACGTATTTTCTATAGTTCAAATATTTCTGAGATCCATGTTTTCCTTACGAAACCCAATCAGTTACCTTGGGCATATCTGTTCACTAGACGATTAGCCTCAGCTATTATATGAGGGTTAGTGATACTACCTGGCTGCTCAAACCTCGGGAAGTGGAGTGGGGTTCAAACCAGTGACCCACTGATGATAGTCATCTCCGTAAACCACTAAGCCACAGCTCCAGAAGTTTACTGTCCACCTCAGTCATATTCGTTGTGTATCTCAGTTAACTGAATGTTGAAGGGTAAATTTAATTATAATAACTATTAGTTAGTAGGATTTATGATCACCGAAAGCATTGCCTTTTCACCTAGGTCCAAGATGTAGTCAATGTGCTATGAATTATTATGGCAATCCAACAGAACCAGGTGGATCTTGTCGACCATGTGAATGCTCTGGAAATATTGCAGCTAATGTACCTGGCAGTTGTGATTCAATCACAGGACAATGCTTGAAATGTCTACATAATACAGAAGGTTATTACTGTGATGTGGTAAGTTTTGCAGGTTAATGGTGAAAGTTGTGTTTATGAAAGCTTTGTCTTAGAGTAAAATAGAACTGTGAATACTTGCATTTTTAGAATTTGATTCTTTCGTTCGTTCCTTCGTTCCTTCATTAGGCAGGCAGGCAGATTATAACTTTCCTTTAGTGATAAATAATAGATAAACTAGTATTCAAGCATTCCTTTGGTATAGGTCCTCAATCATTGAATTTACATATGAAGTAAGAGGTGGTCACATGTAAAAGTTTCTTTGTTAAATTGTTAGAAAACTTTTAGCGAAAGGGAGAACATTGATCTTAGGATTGATATAAAGAATGTTCATCTTACTACGATTGATATCGTCCTCTTTAGATCGTCAACTTCACAATCCCCGTCGGAAGTTAGACTCGTATTATGCATCTTATTCAATTTAATGATTTGGTTCTTTTTGAGGTGCTTTGCCTGTATATTTTGTCGATGAAAAACGTCAGAAACACTAGAACAGATATTCTCTCTCCAAACTTATTTGAACCGCAGATTAGTCTCATGCAAATAGAAAAAGGTCTGATTAGATTTTTTTTTGTGACTTATGGCAACCCAGCTATAGAAAGCTCATCAGTCAGCCGTTCCATGGGTGGTTAAGCACTGCTGAAGAGTCATATAGTAGAATGAAACAACTGTCCAATGCTTTCCGTGATGATGAGTACCACAATGAAATATGCATTTCTGTGTTCGAACACTTTCAGTTTACATTTTTAATTGATCCAAAAAATGTAACATGTTTTTAGTTAAATTTTGAAGCAGCTCAACTTCTACTTCAGTAAACAACAAGCTAATTGTTTAATTTCCAGTTCCACTGACTTCTATTCGATTCTTTTTTGATGTTTTTCAGTTTTGAAGCTGGTTTAAAGCAATTAAAAGATGACCAGTATATATATATATATGTATGTATGTAATAAGATGAAGGTATCTAAATAGTGGATTAGAATGTCTTCTCAGTTAATAGCATACATGTAAATAGTTAGTTTAGTGTCTACTGGAGGAAGATGGTTTCGTTAAGACTTTTATATTTATCTTTGTATTAAATTAGCTAACTACAGTGTATATTTAACAGTCCATATCATCCTATAGGGGTGTCTACATCAAGTGTAGTAAATGCATGGGCCATTAGTATTTATGTAAAATACAATTCCTTTGCATTAAAACACTTCTAATTGAAAATCTTATTTTTGTAATATAAACAATTGTAACTGTACGTCTTATTTTCATCTTGTTATACAATTAATTTATACAATATACATTTAACTAGTGCAAACAAGGTTTTTGGGGAGATGCAACTCGTCAAATGTGCCAACCATGCAATTGTTATCCACTTGGCAGCATTGATGAAGGCTCTGGTGGTTGTAACCGTGAGAATGGACAATGTGCATGTCTGCCAAATGTTATTGGGCCAAGATGTTATGAGTGTGCACCGTATTTCTTCAATTTAACCTCTGGTAAAGGATGTGAACCCTGTCTATGTGATCCAACTGGTTCAATAGATGATTTATGTGATCCTGTAAGTTTTACTTTGAATGTTGCACTTTAATACATGAATGACAAATTATGAGTTATATATAGAGGATTATCTGTTCATGGTGAAAAATGAGCGACTTCGAGGGTAATCCTAACAACTGCTGAGATAACCATTACTTTCCTTTATTTGTGAAAAACCACCTTTGCAGCCGAAATACCGAAATGTGACTGGTTACTCCAGCAGTTTCTGGGAAGGCCTTTAAAGTTAGTACTAAAACGTTTGGCTTTAAGTAATGACTCTAAAGTTCATCCTATCAACAGTTGTGGTTACCAGTAGGATTTGTATAATTTAAGAAACAAGTAACTTCTCAGTCGAAATGAAGACATCTGATTGGTTATTTCAGTTGTTGACAGGGTGGCCTTAAAGTCATTCGACCCTAAGACTGTAAATATTCTTCACTACTTATGATGGACTACTTTTCGAGCCAAAACAGAAGGACACAGTTAGTTATACAATTGCTAAAGAAGAATATGAAGTAACCCTTAAAAGTCAGGCGAAGAATCCGAGCTACTTTAAAGTCTACCCATGCAACTACTGAGATAAAAAGTTAGGTTTCTTTATTTCATGCATTTCGATCATTTGGTAAATTTGGACAGAGCAAGAATGATGAGATTTGCAGAATCACTAACGTGTCCCACATGAGAGGCTGTGAGTGCGTACTGCTGAGGAGCCTGATAGTAAAACGAAACAGCTGTCCAGTGTTTCACAGGTTTTCAGTGATTCCCCAAGTGGTGTCAGTGAGTCCGTGGTGAAAACTACCCTGAAATACTGCTAAATGAAAACTACATTTTAAGCTGAGATAAAGAAATCTAACTGGTCACTTCAGGCTTTGCTTAAGTGTTTTTTTAGAATCACTCATCACTCTTCAGTTACTTTTGACACTCAAACCAAGAAGGCTTAGACTCAGACTAACGATTAAAAAATCTTTAATTAGGTATCATAACATGGTTTAACAGTTTTAGGTCGTCTTTCGTCTGACTTCTACTTCACTCTATACAGTGTGCAATAGGAGATGGTTAGATAAGTAAAAGCGAACTTTGAAATGTAGCCACAATTTTTTTTGGGGTTTATGGGAATTTTATTTATTTCAAGGTAGTGTTCATCACCAAATTATTGTTTAGTGCTCATTTATGATACCTTTCAGGATGGATATCCTGAAGTTTGGACGAGAAGCCATGACCTGAAAGGTCAAGTGATTGGGATTCAAGTGAATGCCGACCGTAGACCTTGGTAGATAGTTGCGCTGTATCGCGAATTGACAGTAGAAGACTGTGGAGCATAGAATTCTGACCCAGTGATTGAGAGGATCATGCGTTCGTCGTGAAACCTGAAGGTCCTGGGTTCGATTTCTGGTGCGGTTACAGGTGCGTACTTCCAGGTTCTAATTTGTTCCCCCAACTGATGTCAATCCTCAATGAATACTACCTTAAAATAATAACGTAGTTTGAGATAGTATAACTTTTCTTCAAATCATAACTACTTCTTGCTGATAAGTGATATCAAGGTTCAAAGCTTCCTGTTGAAATCCTGCATAAAACATGATGGCAACTGTAACACTAAGTAGCATTAACTTTAATTTGTTATCTACAAGAACTACAACTCACCGTAACATCACCTATAAGATATTGCCTGAAACTTCCAACTTTTTCTGTTCTATTTCTACCTCCACTTTACATTCCAGAACATTTCACAATACACTGTGCGTATACTTTAAAAGTTTTTTAATTTAATCATAACATAATTTAATGTTAACGTCACTGTATCATCTAAAGTTATCTGAATTGACCTTGAAATCTGTACATAAGATGACTTAAACTTCTAGTTAAGGTTTAAATTCTCTGTGAGACTAAAAGCACTCAAGACCAGGAAGTTTTGCAGATCATTTGGTTGTTAGCATTGGGATACAGGACGTGTGTCACGTTTTATATAGGACTCACTTGTCATTCGATAAACCTACACCCCAATATGTGGTGTTACTCCAACTAATACTCAAACTCAGTGCCCATCACTTCAAACTCCAGATGGTTATCCCTTAGGCCACTTGATCGCGATACCAACCAATTAAGCAACGGCTATCAGTTGTTGTTTATCGATATCTGTAATTTCCCACTACTATGCTGGGTCGAAATACTCGACCTCTGTTGGCAGATGCCCTGCGGTATGGATGCCTCGCTACTGAATTTCCAGGCAGTATAGAGGCATCTGCATAGGATTTTATCTGCCAACTGAGATCGAGAATGTCGACCCAGTATATCAAAAGGGGAATTACAAGTAACGATAAACGCCGACCAGAAAGTTTGCTTTACTCTTAGTTTCTTTCATAGTATTCAGCATTCAAACCTAATTCTTATTTCTTCGGCTTAAATTGTTCAAACATAATTTGACATATTGTATCCTATTGTCAATACAATTTCATTTCATGTATGCATTTTAGGTTATGGGTCAGTGTCGTTGTAAACCGGATCGAAGTGGACGTCGGTGTGATCAATGCAGAAGATTATTTTATAGTGACCCAACTTCTCCAGATGGATGTAGACGTAAGTTCATGAAGTGCCAACTATTAATTTACTTTAGTATCTAGAGCTCATTAGTGGCTTCTTTCGAGATGAAATGTTCCGAATTCGTAATGAGAAGTCGTGACCAAAGGGAGATGGTTAACCAAGTCGCCATTGGCGTTGGATGATGGTTGTATTATATCACGAGTTGACAGAATAGAACTCCAACCAAGTGGTTAAGTGGTAATGCGTTCATCGTGTCACGGAAAGAAAACTTATCTGTAGGCAAGTGTGTAGTAGTAAGATTGATATTAGTCAGCATCGAATAAATGTATTCATCCCCAACAAATTTTTGTTGTGTGTGTGTAGATTCATTTTCCGATTGGTACTGTAGGCGAAATTGATGACCATGAGATCTTTGAGTTTTGTAGACTATTACCTTGGTTTATCAATGGTGGTAGGACTCACTGTTCAACTTTCTAGTTGGAGTTTATCTATATTGTATGACAGATATTGGAGAGATTCCATGAGGTTATCTTTTCGCACTCTACTTTGCTAGGAACCAAACGTTACAAAAGATAACAGTTGACCGGTAAGAAGTGATATAATTGAACATGACATCATCTGATTATTGAGCTGCTTCAAACAACTATCTCTACTGAAGTTCTTACTCTTCAATATTAGGATACTTAATGACTTTCATGTTATAAAAAAGGATACTCATACATTCACCATTTAAAAAAGTATACTTCTGTCAGACAATTAAGAGATTAGCTATTGAAGTTAAATATCAATAGATCACTGTCTGTAATACTGAAGAGACGTCTGATGGATCATTACAGTAATGGTAAATATATTCAACACAAAATAAAGTTACATAAGCAAACATTCTCTTCGCTTAGCACTTTTTATATTCTTGTTAGCACTTTATATATTTTTGGTTATATATACGATAATTAGTTCACTAGTTACTAGCCGGTCCTAAGCCCGGATAAAAAGGGAAGGTTGGGCATAGGGCTAGCAATCCTACCCCGTAAAACCAGTCCAATCGCTAAACAAACTTCAAAGCACAAAGAAAATATAAAAAATAAAAACAAACTTATTCCTCGTTGGAGTCAGAGGGACAAAATGACGCCAGTTGGTGAAAGCCTTCGGGAAGACAGCCGATTTGTCTTCTCTCGATGAAAGCAAAAGTAAACATGGGGACATGGAATGTCCGCACTATGTTTGAACCTAGCAAGGCTACCCAGATTGAAAAAGAGATGAGAAGGTATAGCACAGAGGTGCTAGGAATCTGCGAGGAAGCTGCAGATGGAATGGAAGTGGACTCTCCAAACTGACAACTGCAGAGTCAATAATCTACTTCGGTCACCCAGACGACAACCATGAGCACTCTGAGGGAGTAGTTATCATGATGTCCCTTTGAAGAGCATCGAAGCCTCTCATGCAGTGGGAACAAATCTCCTCCAGCAGGATCATGACAGCAAGATTCAACTCAAAAGGAAGAAAGGTCACAATCATACAATGCTACGCTATGCACCTACAAATAATGCAGAGCAAGAGAAAAGGAGTAATTCTATAGACAACTGCAATCAGTACTGGAAAGGACCCCACGCTAAATGGTGACATCGAAATTCATTCGAATGGGTGACATGAATACAAAACTGGGAGTGGACAACACAGGAAGGGAACTGGTCATGGATCGAGAAGCACTCGGTGAAATGAATGAGAACGGAGAACTGTTTTGCAGATTTCTGCGCACTCAGTAATTTGGTGATTGGAGTCAGTGTGTGCAAACACAAGGATATGCACAAAGCGATATGGATTTCACCAGGACACACTAAAAATCAGATCGACTTCATCTGAATGTAAAGAAAGCGGAGACACAGCCTACTGGACACAAGATCACGAGGAGAAGCAGATGTATGTTCAGACCAGTCACTATCTAGTTCAAAGAACCTTCCAAATCAAGTTGAAAGCCTTCAAAGAAGTTGGTGATAGACCACGGTTCAAGTTCAACAACCAGAAACTGAAAGACGAAACGACAGAGGATATCTTCACGTCACCGTCAGGACAAAATGGGAGACATTAAGCAACATCCTCGAGGAAACTTGCGTAGAAGAACACTTGCACTCTGTGAAGGCAAAGTGGAAGGAAACCTTTAAAGTGTATTAGGAAAGAAGAAGAAAGAAGATAAGGAATGGATCTCGTCGGACACATGGAAGCTGATAGAGGAGATGAAGATAGTGAAGCAGAAGATGAACCAGTGCAGCGCAGCACAGGGATGAACAACGAAAAGAGGAACTGAGTACAAGGTATAAAATACTGCACTGGACAAAGAAATGAAGAAGAGTGCGCGCAAAGACAAAAGACACTTCTAACAAATTGGCAAGCGAAGCAGAACATGCTGCAGGTAGGAGAGACAGAGATCTGACAACATTATATCAAATAACCAGGTTACTATCTGGGAGGAGAGAGATCAACGCAGATGAAAACAATGAAAGATGATGAAGAAAAGCTACTTACCAAAGAGAAGAAACAAAGTTGCTGAAATCCGGGGAAGCAGCAGGACCAGGTGGAATTCCTCCAGAAGCACTGGAAATGGACGCAGAGACAACAGAGCACATGCTCATACCACTACTGCAGAAGGTTTGAAAGGAGGAAAAAATATCTGCAGATTGGAAGAAGGGCTACCTTGTCAAACTCTCAAACAAAGGGGACCCAAGTCTTTGCGGAAACTGGCGCGGAATCATGCTCCTGTCCACCCCACCCCACCCCCCCCGCAAGCAAAATATTAAGCCGCATCATCCTGGAGAGACTAAACAATGCGTCGGATTCAAAACCACTACGGAACAAGCTGGATTAAGGAAGTACAAATCATGTGCCGATCAAATTGCAACACTACGCATTATCATAGTACAGTGCGTGTAATAGCAGTCAACTCTCCATCTCAACTTCATCGACTGTGAAAAAACCTTAGACAGCGTCGACCGAAAAGTAATTTAACAGCTACTTCAACACTACGGCTTTAGTGCCACAAATCTTTATCAACCTCATTCAACAGCTATATGCCATGTGGTGCCGTATGCCAAGTGATTCGCAATGGAAAGTTCAGTGATGCATTTGAAGTGAAGATAGATAGAAGTAAGATAAAGTTGCCGCCTACTACCACCGATCATCTTCCTGATTGTGGTCAACTGGACTGGATCATGAAACGAACTGTATGGAGGGAGATGGGCATACGCTGTTTGACGGATGAAAAACCTAGAGGATTTGGATTTTGCCGAAGATTTGTGTCTAATGTCGCACAAACTCGAAGATCTACAGGCAAAAACTAACAAGTTGACAGAAGAGGCAGGGCAGCGAATACGGGACTTCAAATGAATGTAAAGAAGACACAGGTGATGAAGATACCCAACCAACAACAGCATCAACTACAAACACCAATCACCATCGATGGGAGAAACCTAAAGGAAGCAGTCTCTTTCACCTACCTAAGCAGAGCAGCATCGTTTCAACTACAGGTGGAGGCACAAACGGGAATGTCAAAACCAGGATCGAAAAGACAGCAAGACAGGCTTTCATTAATCTGAAATCAGTGTGGAGATCTACTGCACTCAGCACAAAGAACAAGATCCAGATTTTCAAGACTGATTCAGTCAAGTCAGTGCTGCTAAATGATGGTTCATAAACTTGGTGTGTCACGAAAGCATTTCCAACAAACTACAGATATTCATCAACAGCTGCCACCTACCCTCTCTCAATACTGGAGATCAGATGTCCATTATAATAAGAATAAGCAACAAGGAACTGTGGTAACAAACCAACCGAGAACCTATCACCCAACAGATATGCAGTAGAGGAAAGTGGAGATGAAGTGGCCATATACTGAGAAGACAGTTTGGGGACATCATGCTCCAGGCCGTCGAGTGGAATGTAAATAGGAGACGACGAGTTAGGATCCCTAGTTGAGGGTGACATGGAGATCGTGTGAGGAAGAAATGAAAGGTTGTGGGCAGTCATGGAGCCGGGTTAAAAAGACGACAAAGAACAGAGTGCAATGGAGATGTGCTACTGAAGGCGTATGTTCCACTAGGAACCCAAGGGACAAATAATAATAATAATAAATAACAATATGTGATAGTGGACACTTTAACAGTAGCCTTCAGATTCCAACCTTCATGGTCCTTCCTTTCCTTGGTATGTGAAAAAGGCGATGAGATAACAAAAGGTGTATTTTAACCTCAAGATATATTCGAAATGCAACGGTTTATGCATATTTATAATAGCTGTGACTATTCTAAGTTTTTTCTATAAAGACATTCACTCAATCTGAGACTCACACGTAGGATCATGTCGCGACTGGTTGTGAAACTCTGTAAAGATTTAGGGTTTATTACGAGTATACTGGCGAAACTGTTGCACACTATAACAGCATCTCTGTGTACACTGTTTTTGTCCTCCATACTCCGATTTGATATTGTATCTTCCTTCCTGATAAATGTTAACCAGTTCATTGTTAACACTTCTTGTATTTCCCGATGTTAAGGTATAAACTAATTACATGCATTCAAATGTGTAGTATTCACCTCGACGACATACTTTTTTAATAAAGCTTCATTTTCACCATAAAATATAATAAAAGATAACAGTTATCTGCTTAAACTTACTTTTATAGGACTTTTCCGCCTACTTTGTATTCAGTTGAACAACTAGTGTTGTCTTTTGGTTAACATTGGTCAGCTTCTGTGAGATTGAATAGGTTATTTTGTTTCCATCAAGCCTAATCACTCCATTCTGCTTCTTTCTAACTATTCAGCTGTTCATTTCATTATTGGTTCCTATAAAACAGCTGAGGCTACGGATTTAAGTGAAACATGCTTTTGTCTACAGTAGTACAAAAGATTTTTACAGCCAACTTAAAGGAAAACGAAACGCACTCAGTAACCTTATTCTCATTCATGCAACAGGCAGTGAGTCACATCTATTGTGTGAGAGTTAGTGGTACTACCTGGCTTTCCAAGCCTTTTTAGGCGGAGCCGAGCTCAAACTTGTGAGTTGAAAGTCATCTCCCTAAACCAATGAGCCACTAATCAACTATTTTTATAGAAAAAGCAACAAATCAGATGTAATTCATATTCCACCCGTCTTTCCAAAAAAATAAAGAATTTTGTTATCTGTCTATCCAAGAATTCAAAACGTTTATTGGACTGTCTTAGGTAATCTTGGAGACCAGTATGTTCTCGAAGTTAGAGTACAATGACTGAGTTTGGAATGAAAACCTGTGTAATGATTCGAACCAGCTGGCCTCAGATTACAAACTCAACTTGATTTCGAACTGATATTTTGTATGGTAAATATTATGGGATATTTTACTACGAAATGGACATTGAACGTCTGAGTGTGATAGGTGAAATCCTGATGGTTTATCAACCTTCATCGACCAAGGTGGCTTGGACATGTACTGCAAAATGCCTAGTCGCCGCCTATCTCACTATGCAGTACCAGTAGAAGCTGGATTAGGCTGGATGGGGTTTCAAGGTGGTCAGACTATGATGTGGCACCAGTCCATGAAGTCTCTGACCGTTATCTCAGCCGTATGGGAAGATGTAGACTTTCTTGATGGAGTCCCCAAGACGAAAAGAGTCAGTGACTAAATGATCTTGGTGACATGGCCGGGAAATCGGTTACAGCTTGACATCTAAAGCTTTTATATTTGTACTAACTATTACCTTCAAATTTTGCATTCTATCACATAACTCTGTCTACTTTGATATCAACCTTCCTCTATCTGACTGTTGTTTGTATGCTACTGTGAATCGTGGCAAATTAAGACGATGCACTTGTGTGCAAGATTGTTCGTTGATTTTGTCAATCTATCTGTTCGCTGTATCACCTAAAGTCTTGAAGTATGACTTTAATTTATCTGCAAATTCTTGTCAAGAAGCTTATATTCACTTACATCACCCTAAACCAGAGATTAGAAACATTGTGAATTACAAGATCACACTTAGTCTTTCTCCAATAAAGAATCACCCAAGCTAACATAATGTCATGAGTTAATTTGTTGTATGTACTTCTATATCATATGTTGACGTGAAATGATGGTTGGTTGCCTAAAATATGATAATTTTTTCCTCTTTTTTAGCTTGTGAATGTGATAGAGCCGGTTCAACAAGTGATTTATGCGATCCATTGACTGGACAATGTCCATGTCGAACTGGTATAACTGGTCTTCAATGTGACCGATGTGATCGTGGCACAGAAGGCATCTTACCCAATTGTAGTCCATGTGGTGAATGTTGGACTAATTGGGATAAGACAATTGATAAAGTTATCAGTAAGTAATTTTATTTGTTTGACCTACTCATTTTGTTATAAACAGTTAATTTGTGGATGCTTAAAATTCATATTTTCATTTATTGATAACAAACTTAAATTACTGTAGAGCTTTTTAAGATGCTGCATTAGTTGTAGTTACAACATCCTGAAGTCAACGTTGGGAAGGAATTAACCAAAACAAACCCTCACGACTAATGGGGATAAGGACTAAATACAACTGATTGAATACACTCTATTTTTATTCCTATCTTCTATATTATTCAATCGTTAATTCTGAACAACTCAGAGCTCCCAGCTAGATAGTCTTCACCTTCCTACACAGCTCAAAGAAACCATGAAAAACTTCTTGCGCCGGTGCCTTATCTTCGTCTGAACACTCTTAGCTTTCTTTCTATCTTATTCTTCACTAGACGATATTGGATATCGCAGCAGACGCTGATTTGGCATGAGTAATACACATTGAAATCACGTCAGTCAACAAGAATTGACAATCTGTTTACCTATCTTCCATTTCTTTCAGAATTTCATTCCTATGAAATAATTCGTTCCTTAATTTACCCCTTTTTATTGACTAGGATTAGCAAGAAACAAATTATCCCACATAGGTTTGATCACCGAGGGATAATAACTTGACGATCACTGAGAATTATGGAGAAAAAGGTAGCTGTTTTATCCTAACTCTAGGCATCTTAGCAACGCTCAAATTCGATGCCAGACAAAATTTCCTTGCAAGAACATAACCCATTCGACCTTATATTATCACAAAATTGTATTCGCAGTGGAATCGTGATGCATTTTCACTATTATCTACTGTAATTAGTAGGCATTCAACGTTAAATGCCAATTCCGGAAAGAGATAGTTAGGCATTTATTTAAACGTGGCAGCAGTTCTCTTCTGTAAGAAGCCTGGAGTAATAATCAGTCTACTGTAGAAACAGCGGAAAAGACAGTAAGTAACTTGTATCTGAAGTTTGACAGAAGTCAGTGGATTTCCGCAACCTCGTCTGAACTAACTGACGCGAAAAGATTCATTTCAGCTGGCTCTTATTGCAAGGAAGAGCAAAATGAAGTCAAACGTGAATTTACTGAGAATCTTTGCAATGACCGTGAGCAGTGATGAGTGGTAAAACAGGAAGGGATGGAGAAAGTACCAACATACTCTGCAATTATTGAAGTTAATTCAGGAAAGTGTCAAGAAGGAGATATGGTTAATTAGGAGAGCAACCAAAAAGGATCGGTCCTTGATAATCTCTTAGGGTGGGCGATTAAAATGTTGCTCGGTACACTATGAAGAGTCAAACCTGAATAAGACTAAGATATTGGTCCTTCAGGTCTCTTCAAAGTTGAGAAGGCTGTTTAAAACCTGCAACGATGCAATCCAGAAGGTCCTGATGATTTGGTAACAAAAGCTTTTGGGTAAGGTGAGGGAGATATTAGCTGGTGTATGGTTCTTAGACCTGTTTATATCGTTAATTATTACAATCTTTAAGTTGTTAGAAAAGTTTCATGTGTCGACCACAAAGGGATCATTCTGAAAAACATCTTACTTAAGATTCTAGGGCCCATTATTATCTCATACCTAACTGAAGCTCGTGAACAAAAAACTCGAATAGGTTAGGAAGGTTTCAGAAATGAACTAGTGTACATCGATCAGATTCTTCATCTTTCGACGTTTTAAGACAAGCCAAATTTCTTGAATTGAAGGCAATATTCGACTCCGTTGAGGCAGTTTTCTTACTGTGGAGCCAGTATCTGGCAATGCTAATAAAGGCTTTCTACTCGAAAGGAGACAGCCGTAAATGTACTTATGAGGAGTTTAAATTTGAATTGACTACAACGAGTGGTGTCCGTCATAAATATTATTGGTTATAACTTTTACATAACTCTGTCATAGATGTGTTAAAAGGCAAACCATTACGTAGCTATGACTTTCCAGAGATCGTCTAACTCCTAGGTGGGCACCTAGTTGACTTGGGGTACTTAGAAAACATAGTTCTGTCAACGAAGAGGCTGACTGAACACATAGTCTTCTGAATGTCACGAGCAGGAATTCGAATATCTTTTTACGCATTTTTTACCTACCAGTTGTAAGATGACGTTTCAAAGTTAGTCTGATCCAAATCTTAGTCCAAGGATTAGATATGAAGTAAGGGGATGTGTTGACGACTTCCTTGTAGGTTTGTATCGGTATGAAGCAGTTAGTTGTTGACGAAATCTCAGCTTGGATATAAAAGGCTTGTTTGACAGTTTCCAACTTATGCCAACGTTGTTGCCGGTATGACATCCAACTACCTATTAAAAGATGAGTAGACTATACGACAATCCGTTCCACCCTTTTTATGATTGTGGACACGGTCGTTGAAAGTGAAAGAAATGAATAGGTTTCAGGTTCTAGATAACGAGTCTCTTCATAACATTGGTAATGTGTAATGAAACCACTACATGAGTAATGTTGAAGTTGGGTGTAGGGTTTTAGGCAAGTAAGACATCCTAATCGATGAGGTTGTAAAGCTTCAAAGACTAAGATGGAACATATGTTGCACATGCTAAGCCATCACCTACCTCGATGTGAAATGTTTGATCGATTGAAACCAGGTTAGAAGAAAGCTGAGGATGGTCAAACTATGAAGTGCCTCCAGTCGATGAAGTGTTTGACTATCATTCTGATGGACGTAGAGGGTTTCAGGCTACCTGATTCGGGTCTTCAACAAAGTAGTAGTCACTGTTTATGAACTCTTTGTGATATAGGTGAAAACTAGTCACAGTGACGCAGATGCATTCACTTTTAACATCTAACGTTTGAACTTAATCATTAACCTCGATCGATTTCGTGTTTTTCCTCCTAAGCACTTTTATCTACTTTAAAATCACTCTTCTTCTACGCGCTTATTCCTCGCAGGCTACTGTGAATTGTGGCAACCTGAACTGCGGTGGTTTTTAGTGGGATCCTACGTTAGCAAATCTGTCATTTGATCAACCTTAGTTCCAACCAAGGTAACCTCACAGTCAGTGGATTTGGTTTATAATTTTGGAAAATCCCACCCAAAGCAAATTTCAAGGAATCCTTCGTTTACAATTGACTGACTTCTAGGATGAATTTCTCGAGATTTTGAGGGGCACTCATGACATGTGAGGTCAAGTAAGTCGGAAATGAGGACTGATGTCCATCAGGAAAGTTGAATATTGGTTGTGCTCTGTCACAAATTCATTGTAACTGGAAATGCCAATCGATGGAGTGGTCCACTGAAAATGTTTTATCTACCAACTTTGAAGGTTCTAGGTTCTGGCTTGCTTAGAGTTGAGACTCAGCGTTACTGAGTAGTTCTCGACGTATAGGCGGGGGACTTTATTTGTGAAGATCCTAGATATGATCTTGCACGGAGTCGTATGCATGTCTTGTTGAGGAGTTACAGCATAGGACAAAACAACTGAATTGGTCTCAGTGAAGACTTTTCTGACAAAATGGTATTCAGCCTGATAATGAGTAGCGGCTGGCAGTGAACTCCAGGGCCTGGTTGCAGTATATAATTCCAACGACTCATGACATCAATGTTAAACTGAATATTTACTTACATATCAAAATATTTCGTTGGATATTTTCGCCTTTTAGGTGAATTGGATCGTCTACAGAATCAAACTGGTCAACAACTACCTAGAGAATTGAAAATTTTATTCGACAGTTTAGTTAGCCTCTTAGAACAGATAGAAAATCTACCTTGGATGACTACAGACGATGCAAGATTCAATGAATTCCGTGATATACTAAAACGAAGCGAGTAAGCTTAGATATTTATTGATTTTCATTTTGACTATCTGAGATAGTCATGATTTGGAGGAGTAGTATTTATCCTGGGTGATATTGAAGATGAAATACAAATTTGGACTGTAGCGGGACTTGAACCTGGGGTCTCTGGTTCGAGTCCCGCCGTAGCTTCCAGTTATTGATAGTGTTCCCATACACATCCTGGATTTCAGGGTTAGCAACTTGTGATGCCTCAGTTTTGTATAAAACATTGTTATTGATCTGAACATTTAACGTGTCATTTCCACATCGTTTTTACCGTATGACTAAGAGTCTATTTCTGCCTCCATTGTAATGTAATTCGTTGATTGGTTAACTTTTACTATGCGAATTCTCCAATTGCGGACAAGGTCATTTTTCATGTGTATACTTATTCACGTGTTTTGGATTGAGTCATGGTTATTATATTATATTCTGTGAGTAATACACTCTCCCATCAGCGAGCTTCGGTCTTCTCGCTATTCGTCCCGGGGTTGCAGTCAGTGACTCTTGCGTACCAAGTTAGCTGTCAGCTAAGCACGCGTATTATATTCTTTTTGGAATATAAACATATACCATTAGCGCTTCGAAACCATAACACAACTGTCAACCACTGATGTTTTCAATAGTGTTTATTATCTCTTCTTCCTGATAAAGCCTGCCACTTCACCAAGTTGATTGAACTAAAAGGCTACACAATTTAAACTTTTATTGGACCTATTAAAATTTTTTTTTTTAAACAAATGTTTGTTTTTGATTTATTTGATCTGATAACTTTAATTGACACCACAGCTTACTCCATTAATCACTGAAAATAATCGATTCAGTTTCATCATTTTAAGTTGAAAGGTAGTTTTTAAATAAAAAATGAACTCTAGTTTGTTGCGTTAAAAGTTGATGAGGTGACTGGAAAGACACTTCCAGTCTTGTATTTCCACTGAGATAGGTTTAGTTTGAACAGCTAGTTTCTTCATAAAATGCAAGACTCTAATTGGTTATCTCATTAATTGTGTTGAGATAGCCTTTAGATTTAGTAGTAATCTTGACTTCAACGGTAGGCGTAGGTGCCATTGTAATTAATTATGAAACGTTGGTTAACACTTGTTGTAGCTTTGTATAGTTGCAGTTATCCTAAGCACCGGTTCCATCCGATTCACCCTTAACGCTGACCTTAGACGTGATTAGTCTCACAGGCACCTGGATAAGTGTAAAACTTGGGCATTGTGGTAGAAAGTAATTGCATATTAGATTTGTCTGTTTGATGTATAACAGACAGCGATACAGTATTACCTACTTGATGACGTTTCGAGCATAAATTATTATTGCTCATAAGCATATTACTGTAATCACACAGTGTTCGACATCCGATTTTGATAATCCTGTCGCCTGATATTCTTTGTTCCTATTGGTAGTAAAATTTTCCATATCTTTGTATAGGTGTTGCATCATTCCTATTACATGCATTTGGTGTTGATTCGATAAACTGACGAAATATACCCATTTATTCATTAACAAGGATTCAATAATCAATCTCTCTCACTCTCCATCTAATTACATTGGACTTAAGCACAGTGGCATAATCCTACCCTATTGTGTGGTTGTGTTAATGCATGCATTGCAATACTCAAGTTACTTTCTAGATTATTGATCTTATTAAGGGGGGGGGTGGTCTGTCATTCTATATTCAGCTAACTTCCTATTGTTCTACTAGTCTAACTGACCCCGACCAGCTAGGATGACTTGTATGCTTGACCTCACAGTCATTGTATTGAATTTGGTAGATTATATTATTTTACTTAATTGTTTCTATCGGATGTTTAAGCCGATGATACTTATCTCTGAGTGAGTTTTCAGTTTTAAATGGCACCCTAATTCCAGCGTTGCTGAGAATCCTATGTAAAGTTTCTTATGTTCCTTCCTAATAAGGCAATACAACAAAGGCTTTGAACTCCTTTCTACTCGTGTTGTCATTATTATTCTTATTCGAATTACCGTTATTATTTCGTTTCTTCTGTGTTTGTACGAATTTCCTAAAACACCCTAAAGGATAATTATTAACGCTTCTTTCATGTGCTTTAATTCCTTGTTTAGGTGCTTGCACTAACTAATCGGTTTTTTAGCTGTACCATTTAGGCATTTGACTAAACCCTCTTGACTAACATTGGATGAGATGACTTGAAGTCTAGATACCTGATACAATGTGTCAGTTTCCTGTAGACGGTAGTATTCAAACCACCGTCTGTTCTTCGTTTTATCCTGCAAACCAACATAAGTAATTCTCCTTGATAGTTTTCTACCTCGTAAGTGAATTGGATTGCGTTTACTACTGAGTTTATATGCATGAGGAAATTGTCTATATGTTCCGATTTCAACACAGTAAATGTGTCACCCACACATCGCCACCATATCTTAGGTTCAGGATTAAGCTTAAGTAAAGCCACGCTTTCCCAACTATGCATAAATATATCTGCTACATTGGGGATATTGGCGATCCCAATGCTACTGCTTCTATTTATCTGTATATTTCGTCTTAAAACTTGAAGACTGTGGAGATCAGACACAACTGTACGCCTAATATGATTTCATCGACCGATATCTTAGTACTCTGAGTAAGTTCTGAGTCAATATATTTAGTTGATTTCTAACTGCCTTCGGTACGATATTGATCGATATTTTAGTATGTTATGTCGCATTCGGAACCATTTAAATTTTAGTGTAGTCCGTTCTTTCAAGATAAACCTAAAACCTAATGATCAACATTTAGAAGAGAGTGAAGGAAGTGGTTAGTTTCAATGTCACACAATTCGGCTGTGTTAACCGGTTACAGCGGAACACAAAGCCTAGTGCTTATTGTCTCTGTCATACACGTGATCTAATTCACCTTTAAATGCAAATGAATTACTTGACCACAACGCGCCATAACTGATAAAAATGAAACGGCCAATTTGAAGAACATAAAAGGTGAGATAATTTACGATAATGGATTGACTTCACTCAAAACTACATATAGAAAATAAATGAGGAGTCTATAGGAAACTCTTGAACTGAGCTATACAACAATATTGCCAAGTAAGTCATACGTAAAATGGCTTATAACATAAATAAAATAATAATACAACTAATGACAATAATCTGAGATTCATTCACGTTACCCACTTTTCGCTTGTTATAACATCACTCACAGTTTAAGACTCAAGGTTATAAATATTTTTACGTGGAGTGTTTAGTTCTACTGTATTATATATCATTCCCGGAATTCAATTCATATTGTATGGAATACCTTCTTAAGTGAGTTTACGAGACGTTTGTTTTTAGAATTATTTATTCATATTATTTCATTTCATTTTAATTCATTATTCTTTTTAGAGATATTGTGATGCGATTAAGTTCTCTTGATCAATTTACTGATAGTTTAGCTAAATGGGATGATTTAATGACGGAACGATTAACTGAACAATTAAATCGTAAAGTACGTATAAATGAAATGCGTACACGTCTTGAAACACTTACTGGACAGTTAAAAAATTTAATGGATGAATCTACGCGATTAGAACATTTAGATCAAAAAGGTAAAAATATAAAGAAAAATTATTTTTTTAAAACTATTTTTATTTTTTCAATTTGTGAGTTCGTGGGGATTTCATTGATTGATTTCAAGTTGTTATTTATGACAGACTGAAATTAGCTGAAGAACAATTGAAAATCAGAGAACACTGAATAGATGTTTCGTCCAAGTATGGGACTCCTCAGTGATGTACACTCATAACCCCACCCTACCAGGGACCAAACCCAGGATCTTCAGTTCCTGTGCCTATCACCTTGCGACTGAGCTCATGACGAATACCAATTTGATGTTTTATCAGTATATATGCATAATATTATTCATAGAATCCTTAAAGAGGTTAGAATGAGACCTGATGTAGAGAAAGTAGATTTTGAACTTAATTCAGCATGTGATTTCTCTTGAAAAATTTCATTTATCAATAGCATAACGTTTCACCAGTAAATTTCTGAATTTTAAGGTTATCGATAGTCATGAAGATATACCTTCAATTGTATACTTCAATGTTGTATAACATTCATTTTTATCCTAAGTTTCCTGTTTCAGTTGGATTAGATTGTTCAGTGTCAACAACCAGTAAATATTTCGGCATTCTTAACATTCAATCCACTCATTACTAATCACAAATAATTTATATTTCAATACTTATTTCCCAGTTTCATTTGATTAACTGTCAGTTTTTGTCTGAATATTTATTGTTAACTAATTGGTGGATATAATGAATTGACTAGTAGTCATGTTGTCATTTTTACTAAGTGTTAACCATAGATTACGTGTTTACTGTTATACAATATCAGCTGTAAGTTCACCGTTTAGGTGAATTAGTAATTACGAGAAAACAAAGACAACCTTCTGATTTAAAAGGATCGTTGGATGAATATATCCATACATAGTTTTATCATTAATCAGTATAACTTGGAAAAAGCGATTTCAAACGAATGAATGCCAAAGGGGTGGAATGTTGTATGATGGAAGTAGTGATCAGCAGCAATTTCCATCGATTTCCGAAATAATGTAATACCTAGACAGAGTTAAATATTCTGTCACCAAGTACAAAGAATAATTTAATGACTTATCATCATTCTAAAACAATTGATTATTATGTTTTAACGAAGTAACTAGAATCCCACGTTACTCATCTTGTGCAGTTAAGCTAATCTAAGCTTAACAACCTAAACAGCCTTCAGTAACTTTAGCACTCCAATGGAATATATTAAAAAGAACAGGCCAAATCTTCAGTTACAGCTTTTGTTGTCTCGATAAAGAAGAAAACACATGGAACATTTCTCTGTTAAACATTATTCCAACCCATAAGGGAAAATAACCTACTGATCGTGGCAACGAGAAAGGTGAATTGAAATTTATAAAAGAATTAGCGTTAAACAATCATTTTTAAGGTTTTCGAACACTTATAGATCAACGTGAGTCTAATACTTGTGTTTAAAAAACAACACGCTAGTTTCCTCTTCTTTTTAAAATTACAGGATATAGATGACTTGTTTACCTTTTACTACAAATGAATCAATTTATCTATTCACAGGGGCGTATTTATCAGTCCTACGATCAAATGATATTGGTGATCGAGTGAAAGGTATACAAACTAGCATAGAATATCAACGTGGGGGATTTCAAAGTGAATTGTTAAATTCTAAACGTGAACTGGACGCTATTCAAACACGTGCAGATCAATTGAACACTGATTGGGCACAAGTAGACAGACGAATTGGAGAATTCCGTGAAAAAATTCGTCAGACAAACAGACTGGTAGGAGAGGCTTTTTCAAAAAAATGAGAGTATAATTGATCGGTGTTACATTTGATTAAATAACTCATTTCCGTTTACTATTTTGTTCAATGTAGACAGTGTCATTATTGTATTCATCTCATACCAATCTTCTTAACGCTCACTTGATAGATTCTTTTTGAATAATTTTTTAATTGTTATTTCACTCAGCCGTCAGGATAATTTACAGACGGTAACATTGACTTTCAGAAACTCAAGGTCATCATCTTTACAACAGTCAATCAGGAAACGGTGCACTGTTTGATTCTTGGAAAAAAACAGATGGGACAAAGCTGAAAGTTATCTTCAAGTGTTATCGTCCTCGCGATAGGTTGTACGGTTGTTTGTAAAAATGAAAACATTTTCTGTGTTCTCTATGAACATTTTACCTAACTGTGTAGTTTTTACAATGCCGCCTGTCATTGAAACATGTTTTAAACCGTTTATTCATACGCAAAGTGTTGGCTACACTTGCATTTCTTAGGCGGAAAGTAAGTAAAGTTATTCAGGATGAATGATACTCACAGATCACAGTGAGTAAGTAGAGGCTTCAAATTACATTCAAAATGATTTATGACTAGATTTTTAACTTCAGAAATATGCATACATAACATAACATACAACACGTATATTTACAGACAGAATGATGTAACACCTGGGGATAACTCTTAGCCTCGTCCAACAGATGACATTAATGAAACAGTATATTAAATTAAAAAAAGATTATTTTTATGCGTACGCAATAAAAGTTATATTCAACTAACTCAGTTTTAGTTCATACTAGTTTCTGCCCATTAACTCGTGAATCGAACTTCATTTCACTAAGCAAAGTGATCCATTAACTTCCCGGGATGACTTTTTAATTTATCATATCAATCACTCAATACGACTATCTACCACATTACAGAAAGCTTTCATTGTCATCCGTGACCCATATTTACCGAACATTGTCTTAGGCAAAAGCCCATGTTATTAAAACAGTAAATTAGAACCTTTTGTCGTCGAAATTATAACCTAGACGATAAACAACACCAATCACATTTAAATAATACCTAGGAAAAATGTGCGGCCCCAACGGGATATTCGCAACCAATCATAAACCGTTAAGACTAGACTAATCAAAATGTCAACTCTGCTCCCACTGTGATCTATTTCCTATTGTCACCTAATGATGAAAATGAAATTTGACTCATTGACCTTACGTGAGTATGTTTGCTAGGCACTAAGGCATATCACTTTTATAAAATAGAACCCTGTTCATCTTCAAATGTACAGAATTTCATAGCGACGTTGATTGTTCTCTGAACTAGGGTTTCAGATGTCAAACATTTCAATGCAACGTCATGAGTGCATAAAGGCTTCAAAAGAAAGTGATATAGTTTATCTTGAGTGGATATTTATAACATGGTACTTTACCTTACTTTGATTTGATTGATCTCTTGGTAAGTGTATCTGCATATATGGAGCTTAATTATTTGATCTTTTGGCTTTAGTTAGGGTTAGGGGTGTGTACAACCACGTGATTATTTAATTTACAGTACATTGAGGTCTCTTCTTTGTGAATTATTCACACCTTTCATTCGAATGGACAGTTTCAAGTCACCTTGTTCTGATTGATCGACACTTTTACTTGACTGAAGTGAAGAAGGCTGTTCTTATTTGATTTGCTCCAACTGAAGTTATACTCCTTACTGCTGCTAGTTGTTCAAATTTTATTGATCTTGAACTAAGTGATTGATGACTGTGTTCTTGTTTGCGTCAAGGGCTTCATTGTATTTAGATCGACTGATTCCTGTAATTAATTTGTTACGAATAGGATTGTATGTTGCGTCTAGGTCTATGTGTCAATTTATTGCTAATGAATTTGCCTCAGTGTTAGTGTTGCACGTAAACCTAATTTCAGTGACCAGGGGAAAACAATTTTGTGAAAATTCTTGTCTCTCCATAAATAGTTGATTGCATTTGTGAGTAATTAAACCTTCTGTGTTTTATACGTCACTACACCATACTGAAGATTACTGACTACATGATTGACTAACTAATAGTGGTGCAGGAATAATCAGCTGGACATTATGTAAACAAGCCTTCTTGAAGTCACCACCTTTGAAAACGAAGTTTATGGTACACACATAGTTCTTATGGATTTGGGAAATTCTTTCTTTACACAAGATGCAGCTGTTTTGCATCAGCCTTATTTGTCGTTCAACGCAGACATTCCAACATGGAACCGAGATAGGTAGGGAGTTTACTTTATGAGTAATACTATAGTGAACACAATGATCAAATATATGTTTTAATACAAAAGGCCTACTTAGCATCTACCAACTTGCATCATTTGTGGCGCCGACTGGGGAGATATCTAACCGTCTACTAAAAGGCGAATATACTGCACTGCAATTCATTCTGTCCTGTTATACGGCTGGGGTACAGAGCAGGTAAAAGTAGAAAATAAGATTTATCACGTTTTTGCAGCATTGCTCGCGTTTGGTAGAATCACCACGTGAGCAATTTCAACGTTAGGCGAAGGCTACTAGACAAAGCAGACAAATCAGTGGATGAGGTTGTGAACCTTCGTCGACTGAGGTGACTTGGATATGTGCCTTGCATGTCGAGCGGCCGCCAACGTTGGGGTGAAGTGCTAGGCGAAGTTGGATTAGTTTGGAAGACAATTCATGGTGGCCAGAGCAAGACGCAGCACAAGTATATGGAAAGTCGTATAGGTACGTGTAGACTGCTTGGTTGTGGTTTCAGAGACGATAGAAATCAGTGATTGAGGAGTCCTGGTAACGTGACTGGAAACCGGTCGCAGTAGTACAAATGTATTCACTCTTCAACGTCTTCTAAAGCTTGAATGTTCTGACTAACCTTGTCATTCAGTATTGTTTTACAGTCATACAGATGGATTGTTTTGCCTAAAGCTTTAATCGGACCGTATACCAAGCATTAATACTACTCACATTTGAGTAAACATTGGCTTGTGAGTTTAAATATGAATAATCCAATTTATTTAGTATCTTACAAAATCAATATGAATTTTTGTTTATTTACTTTAGATTTGTGGTGACAATGGCTTATTGCCCAGTGAAGATACAGACAACAAAGTATGTCCATCCACTTGTGGAGGTGCTGGTTGTGATTACTTTTCAAAATCAACTGGTCTTTTAACAGCACCTGTAGTGGTTAACCCAAAGGAAAGTCGTCAGATGATGAGTACAGAGGTGAATTTACGCACTGGTCTGATTGGTACATGTGGAGTGAATCCAGGATGTAATGCTAGTAATGCTGGACGTTTACGTCTGCGTATGGAGGAGTATTTAAATATGCAAATTCGTTTGACCAATGCATTGTACAATGTTTATCGAGCTGAAAGTGCTATTTCAAAGGTAAGAAGTATTTCTAAGCTCTTTTACATTATTACTGGTAAAATGTTTTACACCTTTACTCTTGGTGGAATCTGACGTTGGATAGCGTTAGTCAAATTTCACCTAGTAGAAGCTTACTAGCTGAACGCATACGTATTCATATTGGTTTTCCTGTTGCAACTAAGACCAAACATCCAGTACTATAAGCTCTAGAGTGTTATCCCCTGGACTATGAAATTGATGTAGGCTCGTCTAGATTATTTTGTGAAGAGGCAGTCAGTTACTTCCTCGCTGTCGATTTGAGTTTACTCTAGTTACGTTGAAGATATTTGACTAGATCGTCGGTATAATGAGATGTGCATAGTTATCCGCTTTTCATTATTGTGACATTTTCACACAAACACTTACTCCTTATGTACAGTGAAGTTGTTATTCTTAATGCATTGCCCCATAGTGGTTTACTGAATATGACTTGTTTGAATGGTTCTATGACCCATATCAACAAGATTTTCATTAGTAGTCATTTGTACCACTTTCGATCTGATGTTTATTTTGGTTCATTTCTTCAACTTTAGAGCAAAGATAGAGTGTCTGATACATTTTTGATGGTCTGTTTATTAGTTTAAGAGAAACCTAGGCAGTCTCGATGAATACTGTTTATGGAAAGACTTTGTACTGTGATTCTGTTCATATTTACATGATAAACATTCTGAGATTGATGCCTAACTTATTGGCAGTTAAGTGTTCCCTGAGCTTCGATATTTTTTAGTGCATCTCATCTTTCAAAACTCCCACTATCTATGATAAAATGCAATCTGCTTCAGAAGGGACTGGCAATGCAAACAATCTAGATTTTTGTGCTTCTTTGCAGTGTACACTTAAAACCTCAAGATTAAATGTTAAACAACAACAAGAACTACGTCAGTCAACTGTGCCTTTAGTGAAAACCAAAGGAAATTAACACCTACTATGCACAAAAGAAAGAAATACACTGAAATCCCTAATAATTAACAAGACAATTGTTATATTACCTTTGAATAAAAGAAGGGATACTGCTGTCGTGTACAAAAACGCAATTAAGCAAATTAAAAGCCAGATCCAAAGAAAACTGTGGAACTTAGTAAAGCTGTCCACATCACAAAAGAAGAATGACAAATGAAGACAAATGGATCAATCATACAGAAGTTCTACGGTCGACCGAAGATACATAAGATAGGTATTCTACTACAACTAATAGTTTCACTATCTGGAACACCTTCATTCAATCCATTCAAAGAATTATATAGACAATGGAAGTGAACGCGACAAAATATCAAAACTCAGAGAACACTAAACCATGAGGTACACATCTTTTCGATCATTTCAAGATGGATAAGATACGTATTTATTCGAGAGAAGTTATTTCATACGAAAAAGCCCAAAAAACTCGGCTACATGAACCTTACAAGTGTATATAAAATCCTACATGGTACCTACAGTAGGAGATAGACAAGTAAAATAAGTCTTGTGCATACTCTTTTATCATAAGACAATATTCAATGTATCAAAAAAAGAAAATTTGAAGAAAACGTTTTAAACAGAATGGTCATTGATAAAAGTTAATATGAATAAAGAGTATGCTTTTTAAATAATTTCCTTTCTGGTTCTACTCTATCTTCAATGTATCTCATTAAGTGTTACCTGTCTATGCAATGAAGGGTGCTTTTAAAACTATTAGCAGAAAATTAAGTTTATTTGGAACATGGATCACTAATAAATCAATAAAGTCATGGTAGATTTTCATACACAACCTTAATTTTCAAGTGTAAATAGAAAGTGGACATACAACATATTGAATTCAGTTGATAAAATTGAACTCATGATTGATTTTTCAGAAAGAGTCAGATATCACGTCAAAGAATCAGTGACTTCTTGGCAAGTTAATCAGCATCAACATAAGACCTGGCATTCTTGCACAGTTGTATGAAGTGCTACATCTCGCATCAACACAAGGAAAAAGATGAAACTATAGAAAGGAATAGGAACGGATGAAAAGAATACAATGAGTAGATCCACCAGCTCTACTGAGACTGATTTCTAACCGTATTACGTAGAGTCTGCAGGCATTATTTAAGTCTACATTCCACCGTCGACTCATCCGAACTGGTAGAGATTTCAAGGGCTGGTGTTAGGTTTTGTTTCGGGGTCCTGTGATCTTTTTTCAGCATAATCTTACTTCAACAAACATCATGCGTCGGATGCACACGATGATTAGGCATGTGCAACACATGTCCAATCCATTTGAGCAGATAAAGGTTTACGACCTTATCAACTGGTTTGCAGCTTTTATGTTAGACACTGTGCCTCACGTCTACATTTCCCGACAAACTAGCGGTGTTATGAAGGCGGCACTGGTAGACCACTTGGAATTTTCTGACTGCCTCAACTTTCAATGGTCACTCTCGTAGATATGGCGTAGGACAGAGTGAATTTCTGTACAGAACCCTCAGTAGGTATCACGTAACAGGATATACTATCTTAAGTGGTCTACTTCGGTGAAAGTTAATCGAATGTTTTGTATTCGTGACGAGGTTCGATCGCTCATTAACCCGTCATGGCTGACCTAAATTCCTAAGTGAGTGCAGTTGTCAACGCCTTCAAATATTTCACTGTCTTTTAGACGATTTTACGAAAGATCCCTTATTGCATATCTGAATGTAATTCATGCAGGAATTCACAGTTTTGACTGAGCAGATTGTAGAAAATCTTTCAGTGTAAATTTAGCAGCTTCAAGAAAATTATCAGTAGTGTATTTGTCCGAATGAGATACTAGTCACTGTGTTGATTTCAAACTGCTATATTCTATGGCTGATAATGATGCACGGATATCGAGTGTCAGACACCGACGTTCAACAACCTCCTAGTTGATCCCCGATCCGACTAATTAATGGGAAGACACGATGTACGTGTAGTAAAGTGTGTTGGGGTAGAAAAGACCGAAGACCAAAAACAAAGGAAAATACAGCTAATATACAGATAGTTCGCTGTTTAAAATAATCCTATTGATTGGCTGATCCATCGTTTGTCTGTCTAACTATAGATATGATTACATTAAGTACTTTTTTAACTGATCCCTCTCCAGACTAGTCTTTTTTTCTCTAGCCCGATATCAGTCACTTAGTCAACCTATTACATCTTGGCTTGCCTTGAATCAAAGCCGTCGTCACTCAGTCAAATGGCAACTGACCAGTTCAATTAATAGTTAGCTAAACAACCTCCTTACAAAGATATCCGAAACCAACATGGTTTCAGAAGACACTGTCTTCTAATCACAATCTACCGGTTTCTAATTTCGACATCACCGGTACCTAAGCGTATTTACACCTAGGTGTCCCTCACTCTTTCATGAATTGGATAACAATTATACAGTAGCCTCTTTCGAATGTTTTACTTTCCCAGTGGTTTATTGAGGGTCAAGATACTCTATTCAGTTGTTATTCTTTTAACGTATTTGGATCCCCAAAAGTATATGAATTTATTTAGGCAATAAGCATGGTATGTGATGTAACTGAGCAATCCAGTTAAATTTCATGTACTTCCTTATGAACTGGATTTGATATGCGAGGATTTAACATAGTGCACCATTACGACAGAAGTAAAAAGGGTGTGAGTTCGAACCCAGGATCACACACTTGAAGGTCTGTTGACTGAACCAGTAGCCCATTCTTCGATGACCTATTGAAATTTTTGACAGATAAGAACTGGTTTATTTCAATAAAAGAAACTATGATTGGAAACAAAATGCTAACTTTGTTTATATGAAGACTTTGGTTGGCTAGGATTTCCATTTGTAAAGAAAAATGATCTTCTGAATGGTTACCGGTGGTAGTCAGCGGCTAATTTCAGTCTTTACAAACACGTCCAACTACCTTCACATTTACAACGTAACGTTATCCCCTGCTTGGTGGCTGTCAGTGGAATGCATGACACTCGTTTCGTCCTATTTGGGACTCGTCTACCAGTTGTACCTGAACCCTAGTGAGTGATATTGTTACCGCTGAGACTCGAATCCAGTGCCCATTGCTTCAAATGCCAAAAAGCTCTTCAATTGGCCACTAGAGAACGAGAGACACATCTTGTTCAGTGGATGTCAGTTTTTACTTGATATTTGTAATAATTTCGCTAAATCTGTGACTTTTCAGTCCTTCCGTTGGAGTCTTTCAAGGTGGGAGGGTAAGCAATGATCTAGACACCTCCTTAAGTCGTGTTGTAACACTGTGAGTTCGGTGTTCTAGTTGCTCTGCTGAAAGTCAGTTCCCAGTGGGTTCTAGTTATCTGTCACTGGTGATTACGAAAAAGTAGGAAAGGTTTGTGGAACGTAGCCTTATGTCAATCCCATCCTGGTATGAAATATCAAGTTGCTTTTCTGTCCTGGCAGCAGTAGCCAAAATAAGTTCTGATACTAAGCCGATTGTTGGTCCGAGACATTTAGAGGATTTTAAGCTTCTCAGTTGTGATCACTGAGGTAACCCTGAATCTACTTATAGTTAGAGAATTTCAGTGATATGGCTCAAAACCAATCACAGTCATACAGAGGCTTTCAGCTTTTATATTCATCTGGAAAACAATACTATCGAATATTATGACTGCGTTTATTTCGTTTTACTTTTTTATGGCTTTTCATGACGTCTTGCTTTTCATATTTTCTTCTCCTTCTTTCTGTTGACGTTTACCTCGATATACCTATATAAAGTGTAATAATGTGGCTCGTTATCTGATAATGACAGATTCCATTCAGTTTATGTCTGTTGTTTCAAAATAATCATGTTTGTCTATCTTATCTGTGTTATTTAATCAACAATCGGTGCAGCCAAGAAGTATCGAAGACAGTCAACAAACGCAGAAATGAGCTTGAACGCCCATTGACGCCTCAAAGATGCGTGAAAGCAATGATAAAGGTATAAAGCGCATACAATAATAGATTATTTCATCTTGGGAGTTTAGAATTGAAAAAAACAATAATTTAGGATAGAACTGGGATTAGATAATGCCATACCATCATGAATAAACTTCTTTCTGTGACAAACGGCACACTGGAGTACATGTGTCAATAACTTCTTTATACTTATGTACAGTTACGTTACTCCCAAATCAACACAGTGTTTATCTCTCTATAAACCTCCTACTCGTACAATACTAGAAAACAGTTTACTTTTACTCTCACCCTTCGTTAACTTCACTCAACAATGTTTGCTTATAAATACTGAGCAAATGTTTTCCTTTTTTATTTTATAAGCCTTGAAACTCAAAATTGATGTTTCTTTCTATCATTTCACTTACCTTGTATATTTTTTTGATATTCTGTAAAAATAAATTTGATTTTGAGGGATTTGTGGATATTTGGAAATATTTCAAGTTGTTATTCATCCTAGACTGACATCAGTTGCGCTATATCGTGAGCTAATAGAAGTTGGAAATATGGTCCATTGGATTCTAACCCAATGGCTCAATGGTAATGCGCTGGTCGCGGAACGTGAAGGTCGCAGGTTAAATCCCTGGAGGGCGGAATCGTGGGTACGCACTGCTGAGTCCTCCCATTCTAGGACGAAACAGTTGGCTGTCCAGTGCTCCCAGGTTTCCTTTGTTTCTCCAACTGATGTCAGTCTACGATGAATAACAAATTGAAACGTAGATTTTATTTATTTACATTGTTGAAATTTACTACCAATACAAATTTATCTTCAGCAGTACAATTTAAAGTGTAGAGCAATGCGATGATATGGACAATCCTTGAGAAGGAATACTGTTGAGTAAATGCGTTTCCGCTTAAATTTCAATGAAAAACAATCTATCAACACCAATCAGATACAGATGTGGACAGAAATAGATTATACGACTAGCGTAAGATGAAATATATTCAGGCTATCGACAGCATAAATTGTATTGGCGACGACTTTCAAGAGTATAGACAAACAAAACTTGATAAAGATCAGTATCACTTTTAAATTTAAAGGTTTGTAGAAGAATAGTGTTATTTAGTCATTAGTAATGTCTACTTTCCTTTCTCAAAATATTCTTTATTTTTCAAGGTTCATTCAAATCGTAAAGATGCAGAGGAGACAGTAAAAAATTTAACACTGGAAGTGGCAGCAATAAAAGAACGTCTGGCTAATATGTACAACCTAACACAAAGTCTGATAACAGACGCTGAGAAATATGTGGATATTTATGGTAATATGAGTCAGGACAAGTTTGATGAAGTAAGTCCTCCGCATGGATCCAGTAAAAATCTCATTGTTTACCATAATGACTAGTGGTATGATTGTGAGTATGTGTGTGTGAGTAAGCATTGAAGGGCATCTTGGTTACTAGGCTTTATTTTTCTTTCAGTTCTGTAGAGCCCCTCTACGTCTGTTGATTCTCTGGTTACACCCCAAAGTTATGCAACAAAAGTAACAACCACATTATACGCAAAGTCACTGATATCTTTTCTTATTATTATTTGTACCTTGGGTTCCTAGTGGAACATACGCCTTCAGTAGCACATCATTGCACTCTGTTCTCTGGAGTCTTTTCAACCTGGCTCCATGACTGCCCACAACCTTTCATTTCTTCCTCACACGATCTCCTCTATTTCACCCTCAGGTGGAACGACCAACTCGTCGTTTCCCATATGGGTTCTACTCGGGTGCCTGGAGCGTGATGTTTCCGTATGGTCTTCTCAGTGTATGCCCAATCCATCTCCACTTCCTTCTGCATATTTGTTGAGTGGTAGGTTGTTGGTTGGTTGGTTCCCACAGTTCCTTGTTGCTTATTCTTATTATAATGGACATCTGATCTCCAGTATTGAGAAGGGGTAGGTGGCAGCTGTTGATGATATCTGTAGTTTGTTGCAAATGCTTTCCGTGACACACCAAGTTTCTGAACCATCATTTAGCAGCACTGACTTGACTGAATTGGTGTTGAAAATCTGGATCTTGTTCTTGTTCAGATTAATGAAAGCCTGTCTTGCTGTCTTTTCGATCTGGTTTTGACATTCCCGTTTGTGCCGCCACCTGTAGTTGAAACGATGCTGCTCTGCTTAGGTAGGTGAAAGAGACTACTTCCTTTAGGTTTCTCCCGTCGATGGTGATTGGTGCTTGTTGTTGGTGGTGGTGGTGTTGGTTGGGTATCTTCATCACCTGTGTCTTCTTTACATTCATTTGAAGTCCCGTATTCGCTGCCCTGCCTCTTCTGTCAACTTGTTGGTCTTCGCCTGTAGATCTTCGAGTTTGTGCGACATTAGACACAAATCATCGGCAAAATCCAAATCCTCTAGGGTTTTTTCATCCGTCAACAGCGTATGCCCATCTCCCTCCATACAGTTTGTTTCATGATCCAGTCCAGTTGACCACAATCAGGAAGATGATCGGTGGTAGTAGGCGGCAACTTTATCTTACTCTATCTGTCTTCACTTCAAATGCACACTGAACTTTCCATTGCGAATCACTTGGCATGCGGCACCACATGGCATATAGCTGTTGAATGAGGTTGATAAAGATTTATGGCACTAAAGCCGTAGTGTTGAAGTAGCTGTTAAATTACTTTTCGGTCGACGCTGTCTAAGGTTTTTTCACAGTCGATGAAGTTGAGATGAGAGTTGACTGCTATTACACGCACTGTACTATGATAATGCGTAGTGTTGCAATTTGATCGGCACATGATTTGTACTTCCTTAATCCAGTCCAGTTGACCACAATCAGGAAGATGATCGGTGGTAGTAGGTGGCAATCTTGTATTACTCCTGTCTTTGTTTCTTTTATTTTAATGGTAGTGAAATACCTACAATAGGTGATGGATCACTCCCGTTTAACCTGTGTTAGTGTTGATTCAATGAACAAAGATTCTGTCATCAATCTCAGCCTCCATTCAGCTATATTGAATATTGGAATTATCACCTTATCCGCCCTATATTGAACTTATAAGTCAGTCCTTTCAAAGTGATAGCAGAGTTTTTCTTTAAATTGTCATAGTAGAGTCTATCATTTTGTGTTTCGCTGACTTTTCACGCTCCTCTATTCTGATTGCATCTGATTGGCTACTTTTACCTATATACTTGATCTCACAATCATTACAACAAGTTATTTGATAGATTAAATTATTTCACGTGACTGGCTGTACTGGATCTGTTAGCCTGCAATGTTTCTCTCTGATTGACTTATGGATTGAAATGCCACCCTATCCCAGTATGTTGAGAATTCTAAGTAAAATGTCTGATGTGCCTTCCTGTGTAGTGTATCAAATAAATAATCTAATATAGAATTATACTCTAAAACAGTGACCAAGTTTTAATCTTACATTAAGCTGAACGCTTGAGTTATGCGTAAAATCTAAAACACAAGATTTGTTTCAAGTATTGTATTTTATTGATAAACAACAATGACTAATCGACTACGAACCTCGGTGTGATGAGTCTATGGGGTTATTGTCGTCAAAAACAATTTTTAGGATATGGATCAACAAGACTGTACAACAAACCTGTGCACAAAGCAAACCAGTGGAAAAAACCGAAAACGCGACATGAAAAGCACATCCAAAAAATATGGAGCATCAAGGGGACAGATGAAGTGGGAATGACTCAGTCATGAAATAGATTCATTCCAGAATGCTGAAATGATGAAAAAAATACTATTACAGAAATGAACAACTTGAGTTATGGGTAAAGTAGTATTGTAAAAGTACACAAGTCATACTACTCATCAATAGTAAGTAGTATAAAGCTGCTTGCATAAAAAAGACAGACTTAGCATCGAAGTAAAAGAAAATTAAAATGGGGTAAGAAACGGATTGTCTAGTCTTTTGAGAAATATTGCCAATAAGCTAAGTGACTTCATATTCCCCTTTACCATATTCAACACGAGACAACCTATGTCAACCATTACTATCCAAAACTGGATCGTGGCTAGCTAAACAAGAATCAGGAGACACTATAAAAAGTTAACTCATAATTTCTTTCATTATTTTCATACTGCAATAATAACATTTGAAAATCTGATCAGTGAGTCCACTTTACAGAAGTCAGTTATCTAAGCGAAATAAATTTGTCAAATTTATTTAGAAAAGCTTGTTGAATGTTTGTAAATTAAGTCGGAATCTCATTAATTCACTTGTCTGATCAAAATCTCTGGATTCAGAGCTTCCTTCAGATTGCCCATAACTAATTGGCAGTAATCAAATTGCACTCACCAGCGCTAGCGTGCCAGTTTGGTGACCAGTCGGATTATCTTATTTCAATCCTGAAAGAGGTTACTGTCAGTTAGAACAGCTCCATGGTAAGATCCCTGACTACGATACTGGATGGTGCAGGTTCGGATTCTAAAGGGATATCACTTCCCTATGAGTTAAAGAGATCCTATACTCGATATCGAAAAAACACAGAAAGTCAGATTAAGCAAGATTTTATGCCAACTACTTTCAACTATGTAACAAATTAATCACAATCTGAAGGAAGAGTATTCTGTTCTGGAAATGTACAGCATAGAGTGGTCCAAGTTTGAGGTGAATGCATTTCAAAATGGGACGTGGGCTAAGAACTGATAGGAAATCTAGTTTTCTCTTTAAAATTGCCAATATTTTGGTGATTTAAATGTGCAGATAAAGGATTTGATGGTAATAGGAAAGACAAGAACTAAGGAGGATAGGGGAAACATTCAGTTTACTGACGGCAAAGGGAAGAATAACGCCTGAACGAGTTCCTTCTCAATGCAGAGTTCAAGTTTGACCAAACTTATCGCCACACCCTCAGCTATGCTGATTAGGTTCAGGTGAGCTTCACTTGATATTGTTTTTGGCACACGCTGTATCAAACTAGTAACTTCATTAGCATCTATATTATGCCTTGTATCTGCCAGATGGGCTAAGACAGAAAATTTTACTACTTTCACTAAACTTTTACAAATCAAGGAGATAAATGATCCTGTATCCAAAGAAAAGCCTGTCTAATTGTATGCCCTATGCAACTTGTTCCACAAGAATAGTTAAATTGGTATTGACAACATAAGGAGCCACGATTATGTAGGGTATCCTTTAGTCTTAAATTAAGCATTGTCTGTCTACTAAAGCGATGCAAACACAATCTGAATGAAGCAAAAACTTTTACTGTGCTAGCCAAACGTTATAATAAGACACAGTTTCAGTTAGTACTAATAATTTCAGGTTGGTTTTCGTCATGGACTGACATCAGTCGGAGAACGTTTGAGAACCTGGAAGAACTGAACAACTGCTTCGTCCTAGAGTGGGACTGTTAAGCAGTGTGCACCCGTGACCTTGCCAAAGACCAGTTTCAGGGCCTACAGGTACAGCGGGTAACATGTAGAGTCACTAAGTCAGAATCCGATGGTCGACATTTCCTTACTTTTGTCTATTGGCGGTATGGTGTGACCTTCATCCAGCGCCGTCATTAAGTAACTGTCATGCCATCCGACTTGGTTTGTCCCAATGGTCGCGTCTAATCATTAGAACTTCAGAAAACCTCATCATGAACTAAGTCACTAGTGATGTTAGTCCATGATCAATAGCAATTTGAAGCCAGTAAAAGATTCCTACAAATCACCAGACTGAACTGTCCACTGCATATTATTGACTTGCTCTGACATGAAATTTGCCGAAGTTCCAATGAGAAGTCATGATCAGTGAGACGAACCAGGTTGGGCGTGAGGACGGTCACCCAACGACAGCGTTAGATAGTCATGCTATTTCGTCAGTTAAGAGAAGCCGGGAAATATGGACCTCAGGATTCCGAGACAGTGGTTCGGTGATAGCGTGCTCGCCGAGGAACCTGTAGATCCTAGTTTCGTCCCCTGGTAGGTTTTTGGGTGTGAAGTGCTGAAAATTCCCATACTAGGACGAAGTAGCTGTCCGATGCTCCACGGTTTTTCAATGTTTCTCTGGCTGATGTCAGTCCATGATATATACCAGTTTGAAATCACTAAAAAATCCCGACAAACCTCTGAATTGATAGAATTATTGGTTAAAAACCTAAGTGATAACTTTCAGTTCTTATCCTGAAGCATAAAAATTAGTTTGTCTACTGAGTAAAAATGTGCTGGCTTTTGCCAAGCTGCAGACAGTTCCTGTAGATTAAATTTCACCAACAGGAAATTGGATAGATTACAGCTTTTCAATTTGGGGATTGTCTGGCTCATCACGGTTTACAACATCTCTGCATGGCTATATCACATGATGAAGCTACACAGCTCTGACTTAAGAAGTCTTGATTCCGTTTCGACTTGTTTTCAAAGGTTACCTTAAAGACCACCGTTAAATCTGTTGACACAATTAGTTAAGTCTTTCTATTTTATGAAAAACTACCTCCACATTGTTTATCTCAGCAGTTGATATAAGGATTTTACCATCATGTCTTAGCATGGAGTATTTATATATTATCAGCGTGAGAATGCATCTGAAATACATACATATCGCATATGCAAGCACACCGACCATCCCAACTTGGTTTTCATATTTGTTGGAATATCTAGAAATAACCCTTCCTCGGGTTCACTTACAAAAACCTTGCTACTACTTTAGTAACTTCGTCTTCTTGGAGTCGGCCGAGCAGCAGAACCGCTTCAGTGAAACCAATTCAACGACTTCACTAAACTAATCAACAGGTAGTAGCGTTGAGTGATGTGTAGGGGGACCTTTCAAGTCACTGGTGCCTTGTAGACTAATCATTTTAACATAGATATTTATTTTGTGCAGTACAACTCTAGTGTAGTGATCAAAGCAGTTGATTGTCCGTTAGACATATTTCACTCACAATGGACAGGTATTACTGCGAACTGTCATGCACAATAAATTTGAAAGATAGTACTGCTCAACAACTTCGGTAGTTAGAAACCACTTACTCTGATATTTACTATTTCACCAGTCAACCAGATCAGGGTGAGCTAAACAACGGATGGCCATTTAACTCGTCTGAGGCTCAGCTCATCAGCGGTGTATGCAGACAAATTGAGTTTATACAGACGAAATTAGTTCAGACCACCCGAATCTGGTTAGCTGACTAGCATGGACGCGTATACCTAAAATACGGTGATCGACTTGCAAATGATTTACAAGTTGTACGGTTCACGTTGACATTGAGCTCAACCCCAAAGGAGCGACACTGCCGTCCAGTATTCGGCTCACTCTGATTTGGTTGACTGGAGAAATACTACGGATCAGCCTTGGTAGTTTCTAGCTACTCGAGTTTTTAGTAGTAGTATCTTTCTTTAATTCATGACTTTTATGTCAGAGATCACACCTGGGTGATCTTAGCTGAGCGCCTTCCAGCGGAAACCCTGTTGACGCCACAGCTGAATGGCAGAAGGAGAACATCAGCATCCTCTGTTCTGCTCTCTTAATTCCTTTACTGATACGTAGTCACTGATCATAGGATAAAAAGATGATTCTAAAAACGAAAAAAATTTACAGCGAAATACAGTATGAATAAAACCATGATAAAAGGAGAGACTGAACGTACTTCCTCTGCAAACAGAGATCTGGCATGACATAAAGAATGACCAGTGTCTCCACTTTACATAAGATGTAAAATCGTACTTCTTTTGGACTGTTCGCCTTGACTGTGTAGATAATCTCGACAATAGACTGTGGTGGAGTTACATGCACAAAATTGACCAGGGAGTCAAGAATCAAGTTAGCGACTTATTTATAGTCTTTCCTCAACAACCATGCAGAGTAATACTAGGACATGCGTTTAGAAAGCTCGAGCTTTATGCGACCAATATAACGAGTCGTAAACGCATAACTAAGCATTACCCAGAATGACTATCTTCTTTTCAATAATTGGATTCTCACTTCTCTTGATCTGTTATCTTTCATAGTTATTCATAAGTCCCTTAGATTATCCATTCTCTTGAAGACACTTCTCAATCATCTTTAGTTCTTCCTGTAACTTGTCCACAGAACATAATTTTCTAGCTCTGTTTTAAAGTGCTTTGACTAGCCCACGCTTATAGCCGGTGGGACAAAAACTTATAGTTAAGATATTGTTCATTCTATGTATCTTTTCTATGGATGGTCTTTTAAAGTGTAACACCACTTCTTCTTCTCAAGCTGAGGTTTAAAAAGCTGAACTCGTTTTTATATTCATATTCCACCTTAAATTTAATATCAGGAGAAGAGTTGTTGAACTTAACATCGGAGTCGCATGGTCCATGTAACTGTAAAAACCAAAAGAGTCACTGAACCAGTTCAGATTGGATAAATACTTCTTTCATGTCACTTCCATCTGCATTTATGAATTTATATGCGCATGCCGTAACAAGTAAATTGGAATAACTGACAGCAAGGGATCCATTGGGTTCGCTAAGCATATCTAAAGGAATCAGTGATTGAAAGGAAGTAGAAATCTACCAGTATAATTTCCAGACACCTCGTAGACATAGAACATCAAGTTGTAACCTGGAGTACTTTTAAAGTAATAAAAGTGCAGAAAATCTCCGGATTACTATGCTTTGCAGAAATAAATGCTACAAAACGCTTTAAACCTGACCTATCTCTTGGTAACTATAATTCAGTTTCGTTTCATTTTAATTACATAGCTCTTTGTTTTGTTTACCTACTATTAGGTAGTGTAAATTGTGCTTTTCTTGCATTTCCTACCTATCTGTACAACTGATTCTCTTATCTGTTATATGGATTATCAATGATTTCGTTGCACAATTGAAGATTATAGATTTCTGAATTTTAACTTATATTATGTACTGCTAATAACCGTTGTACTTTTAAGCTGTATACATGTAGTTCAGGAGCATTTGTGAAATAAAATGATTGTATTACTTTATTTATTTAGTATATCTCGTCCATTTGGCACAATAGTAACGTTTCAGCTGTGGATTGTAGTTCAAAAATTTGCTGAAACATCCTCGCTGAATGAATAAGAATATGTTCCGCCGTGAACTTCGTGCCATATGCACTCAAGAATAGGCTCTATTGAAAAGTCGTAAAAAGAAGTGAAACAGCTTATCAGTATCTTGTCATTTTTAACAGTTCGCCAATTCATGTTACTAAATTGTAAAAACTAGGTGAATCATGCTAGAGTAATGAATAGGCTACTGTAAAATATGTCAACATGAACGGTTTCATTTTGTGTAAAGCTTTTCACTGATCAGTAATATCACCTGTCTATCTGATCACATTCAGGTAACTCATTACGCTTATCTTCCGTTTTTTAAGAATTCCACCTTGACCTGTTATTATTTTCAGTTATTAGAAATTCACTTCAATGTATCATAGTTATGAATACTGCTAAATGGCTGTGGAAACCCAGTAACAGAGATTCAAGGTCATATTTATTTCGTCTTATAAGAAAAATATTTAAAAAATCAATAGATTTTTTACCGAATCACACAAGTACATCAGTGCAGTTTATTTGAAATTTGAACGGTCAGTACAGTTCACCATAGCTGGTTAGTTGTTACATGACCTACTTGTACTGTCAACAGGGTTTCCAAGTGAAAACCGCTCACTTCAGTGTACAGACTGACCTTTGACACGGAAATTTCAGAGAATTGATGACGTGGTTTGCTGAATGAAATAGGCAGTTGGGAGTCAGTCACGATAAATTTCAGATTATTTTAAACTAGATTAGAGAAATCTGAAAAAAGCAGCCGGTGATGCATTCGAACAATTTGGCTGAGTGTTTTACAAAAATAAGAATCGTGATCTAAAATGAGTGAAACGGTAGGTTACTGTTTTTGGGAAATTATTTAAAGTAATCTGAAGTCAGTCACTTTGATTGGTTTCTAACTACTTACGGTTCACAGTAGTGTAAAGGGGAGCTCGTCATTTTTATGCTATATCCTGTAACTTCCCGTCGCTGATTAAACCGAACTGATTGGGCTTTATTGGCATTATAACTCCTGTGAGGAAATGCATTTGGTCCACGGTAATAATTTTTAAAAAATGTTATTTTCTACCCCTTCCCCCTCACTCCCTGTGTCACTTGTTGTCCAATTAAAATAGACGATGGAATGTCCCATGTTATTGGTTGCACAAAATCCAAAGGTACTATAAAACGGAGCAAAGTGAGGATGGGTTGCTTCGTTTTCATGATGAGCGACGATACCGTCCAGTGTTGTAACCGAAAATCAATCGATTTTTATGGAGCGTTTTTGTCTCGCCGCGTTTCCGTCCTTAGAGTCTTTGAAGGTCGCCCTGAAGGAGTATGAGAAACAGACGTACACACACTACGTTGTGCGAGATTCACATTTGCAAGGTGACCGAAGGTGAAAGATACTGTCACGTATTATTCTGAGCACAGTTGTAGTAGGCGACACTCAGTAGTCTTAGCAACTACTTTTTTAGACGTCTCTCACTCCCACCAAATGTTTACTTCCATTCATCTCCAAAATATTATCAGCTACTACTAATAGGCACTTTGATTACAACTGACTCATCAATATTTCGTTAAGTCACTCATCCTAGTCGAAACTAAGCTACGGAAGCAAATTATTTCAAATTGATCACATTCATTTAATTATCAAGCTAGGCTGAGCTAAACTCACAAGTCTTAGCAACTGTGTTAAAAGATCGATTCGTCGCAAATAAGCCACGGTAACTAAATAAGTGATCAAATGAGGCTTGATTTTTTTAATGTTGACACTTTAGTTAACATCAATCATCACTGTAAAACGTAAAGATTTTGGTTACTAAGCTGCTTCAATTATTTGCAATAGCCTCATGAATAGCCTTCAATCATCATGCCTATCAGTTAAAAGTACTAATCCCAATATTGAAATGCATAAAGAGATGGTTGTTGAAATAATATTGCTTTAAATAACCGTCATTTGCAAATGTCTTCGTTTCCTCTCCGTTCCTGTCTTGATTTGCTCTTGACCGGCTCTTAATACACTCTTATCAGCAGCATCCCCTGTAATACGCCTGTGTTGTCCCCTGCGTTGCTCTTAGCAGAAACCTTACCCATTGCCGGTAATTCCCTATGATTCCTGCCACCCTCGATATATACTACTTATATCCGTTGCTATCAGCAACGCCCACTACAATACTACGCCGGAATTATACACGTAAAAATGCACCTTATGCAATATAGCAGTGTATTCCTACAAGGATTTAAATATATCGATGAAAAGATTGTATGTTGCTGAATGGAATAATATAAGTACATTTCAAACGAAAAGTTTAAAAACAATGGTAAGCTTTCATTTAAGTGAATTATTAAGAAAATATTCCGACTGTTGGTGTGATAACGGGTAGTAATTTTGCTCCAATTATTACCAAAATAAGAACTTATCATTATGTGCAAATTTTTGATTAGTACATTTAAGATTTAGATTTTCCTGCAAACCTCAGTTACAGTTATAAATTACACTCGATACATATTGATCTCGGCGACTACCAGGACGCGCGCTTCGTACTACTCGGAACTCGTCAGCTGAATGCAGCAGGACCCCAGTCAGTGATGTGGTTCCCACTGTGGGTCGAACTCAGTACTCATCGCTTAAACAGGCAGAGCCTTATTCACTAACCCGAGTACCAAATAGAACAAAACACCAGTCCTGGAGTCCTCTGTTAGTCACCGAGATCAACGCCACATCACGAATCAGCAGCAGTATCAAGGTATCCGTATAGGAGCCTATATACCAACAGAGCTCGAGCAATTCAGCCCTGTATATCAACGGGAAATTACAATTATCATAACGACAATTACACTAAATTCATTTTGAAACAGGCTCCCTGAAATTTTACACAACGTTGTCACTACAGGATTAAATTCTCCACAAATTTTAAATTCATTTTGGATTTAATCGTAACCTGAAGGTGATTATTCTCTGAAAACAGAATTTATGTGACAAGCAATGGTTTTATAAGCTAATCTAAATACAGATAGCTCATCTAAGCTCAGATTCCTACGAGTAAGTGTCCTAGTCCAATAGGAAAGTACCTTGGCGGCACAAACATGTTGACTACTAAACAGAGAAACCAACGAGTCATTTTTCATTCCAAATTTCTTTCTTTCACCCTAAATAAATTAGGGGGAGAAGTGTACCGGATAATAAAGGTCGACCTCCTGTGCGCATGCCTTGCCAATGCCAGTAATTTCGAATTTGATTATAATGATGCAAAGCGGCTAGCAGTGGAGTCCTGGACGTGCATCTCATTCCATTTGGGACTCGTTGGCCAGATGTGCCTGCACTCCAGTGAGTGATAGTGTCCTCATCAAGACTCGAACTCGGGACTAATCGCTTCAAACTCCAGAGAGTTACCCATAAGCCCGGTGGGTTACCACAGCCACTCCTTATGCAACGGGTGTAGTACAGCTTTTTAGCATCTAGCTTCTGAGATCAATAACTGACTGAGTATGATTTGAGTGACCTGTATGGTGTCACATAGTAAAACTATATTGTACTCATGCTCAAGTTGAAAAACTCTTTCACCTACTAACAAGTCTACAACTCCCTCATACACCTGTATAAAGGCCGTCTATAGAGTTTCATATATGGCCAACTTAAAGAAGAGAATCGAAATTGGGCGGAACGATGAAGACCATTGGCTGCATGTCCTCATTTTATCTGAGATGTTACAGTATGTGGCTTTCAAGATGTTAAAAATTTCTTATAGACTCCCTTTTGTAAGAGACAATTTCAGAGTACAGTTCTGTCCAAAAAATCAAAGGTGGCCTCAGTAATGATGACAGAGAAAATCTTCAGCTTGTAAGAGTCGTGACAGTATTCGAGTGTCTAGTGGAGGGTGAACACTTGAATACTTCACCTACGACCGAAACGAAATCCGACCTACTCTTTACGGATCAGTTTTCCACGGGATTCGGATAGTCTGTACAATATGATTGCGACCACTGCTTTAGACGTAACCAGTAGCAAGCTGACACTCCTGTGACTATTACACACATTACGCAGACCCTTTTTAAAGATGAGTAGGACAATGCATCAGTCGCTCTACAAAAGGCAGTAGATACTTCACTATGTTATATGTAAGGACTCTGAGTCGAACTAGTCCTTTGTCTAGGCTTCATCTCAACGGTATGAGTCACGACTATAGCGTACTTGCCGCTTGCAGGAACCCGTCGTTTAAGGTCACCACACTCCACTCAGTTGTTTTTTTAGGTATTGGATTAACAGGAAGCATGTTACCAAACTGATGTTTGCTTTTTTTAATCATAGTATGCAAATTGACTACTATGCTAACTTTCAGTTGCGATGAAAGTTTGCTTGGTAAGGTCTTAAGAATACCCATCCCTGATGGTGAATTTTGCTAGTAGCGTGCCTTGACGAGGGTCGTTTATTACTTCTTCACTATATACATGATGTTCAGCAAGGTCTACTGGAGATAATCATGCAGCACTTTTGTGATATTTATTATGCGCTTTGAAGATATCTATGGCACTGACTTTGGATTACCCTACCGATCTAGGGCTTAAATTACAGAGTAAGTGGAAAGAAGGGGACAACTGATAAGAGGACACCTACTTCACCTAGATTTCATACTTGTTGAGTTTAAAAGCCCCATTCTGTTTACCGAGTTAATGCACAGTAGATATAGTGGTAAAAAGCAAATTCTAGCAGATATTTCATCAGCACTAACTTGTGCTGAAAGTTGTTAATGGATATTTAACCTTTTAAAATTCATAGCCACAATAAAATTCGCCCTGGTTATATTCAATCATTCTCTTTAATTTGATTAGATCTTGAGATCACTCAAGAGTCAAAATTGAATGTTAGTCAGTATGAAGCACAAGAGATAATTCAACAGTTAGAACAATATGCAACCAATTTAGAAGATAAAGTTATTCGTATACTCGCTGAGACGGAATCAGATCGTCAGCGTACTGGGAATCTTTTGAGACGTGCTGAAACTATTAGGTAAGTATAAAGGATTTTATGTGCCTGAGGATGATATTTCAAGTGTCTAACATATATATTTATTTATTTGACTGGTAGACAGTCTAGCAACCTGAGTGGTCTTCCAGTTGGGATCACCTTGTAGACTGCTTATAACATTGAATTTGCCAGCTTTCATGGTTGGTTTAACAGTGATATATGATTGTGTATATGTGTCTATTTATTTGAGCTCATCACATTCAGACCTACAAAACACTAATAAATATGTAGATTTGGTTATTATTTAGGAATCAATCTAAAATACATTTTATGAACAGAACAATTGACTCGAGGACTGTAGTCTGTGTCGTGGTTAGCAGTGGATTCCATCTTATTTGAGACTTATCAGTTGACCCAATTTACCTACCTGTATGAGTCTTGTTGCCACTGAGACTCAAATCCAGTACTAATCGCTTCAAATGACAAGGAGTCATCTGATAAGCCAAGG